AAAATTGAAGTTTTTGATTTATCAAACATTTAGGTAAGAACATTATAAGTGTTTAAGCATTGACAGAGTTTTGATATTTTAATTTTCGAGTAAGGTAAGAGTATGTGAAACATCACAAATTAAAATATTTTGTTTGAAAATATCTGAACATCGCCAACGCTAATCTTGGTATTTTTCAATTAATTAATAAATCACTAATTAAGGATTTACAACTTTTTATTTTATACATACATTAGTAGATAAGACACTTTTAAAAATATTATTTTTAGTTTTTATATTACACGTACAGTTTTGTTAACATTTTTGTTGATTAATTCTTTTTCCATCTTTTTCTTCTGTTCTTTAAATGCTAAAGTATTTGCCTTCCTTTCTACTCTTCTTTCCTAAAAACAAAATAACCAGATAACATATATGTATATTTAAATATTTATTATTTTTAAACTTAATAAAGAGTCACACCTGTCTAAATTCCCTGAGTGCTTTTTTCCTTTTCAGTTTTTCTTCAGGCGTCTCATCTTTTGGCCTTATTGATAACATAGATAGAGCTGATATTACTGATCTAGAATCAGATTTTGGTGCATCTTTATTGTCCAAGGTTTTCAATGCATGAGCTGTAAGCCTCTGTTGTAATATTGGAACACCGGTTCTAGGATTTATTCGTATTTTCTGAATCTAAATTATATTTATTGAAATTGAATTATAAATATATATTTATTTTGTAAAGTTTTAACTATTACACAATGATAAATATTACATTTCAATGTATGTGTAAATGTAACACAAATGTAATACAGTAGTTTCGCTAATCCAGACAATCTATATTTCGTACTTTAATACTCATGTATAATGTATAAACTCGGAATACCCAGATTTAGATATTATCGTTTCGATTACATATTGTGATATTATTTTGTACAGTGGTGATTGTGATATTATTTTGTTCAATGGTGATTGTGTACACGTTTATTTTTTTCTCAGATTATTATAAAAACAACATAAAATTACAAAAAATAAAAATATATCACAGAGTTTTTAAGTGAGTTCATTCTTATTTCCTTTAAATTTGTATTGATACATACATTTATATATGCATATGTAATACATATACCATAATAATAATAATGAAAATGTGTAATGTAAAATTGTAAATCAATAAATTTTGAATTTGTATCAATATATAAGGTGTTTTTTGCTTATATTTATTAGTAAGTTTAAAAAAAGGTAATTCTGTTTAATCTAGATATAGTACGGTCCCATCTACTTCAGATAAGCGAGACTCTACTGTACTAAATAATTATAATAAATATTTGTTAAGACTTAAGCGTTCAACATACCGGTTGGTCCTTGATAAGAGCAGGACGGTTGTAAATATTAGAATATGTAGAAATTATGCTTTCACAATCCCATTTTTTTACATCTTGGTTATCAACTGGTAGTTTATAAGTAGGTTCTTCTTGATCAGAATCGCTGTCAAAAATTAAAGCAGCTGTTCTATCAGTAGGTATTTCATCCTAAAATACACAAGAATTTAAAAACTAAAATTTACTTTTACCAGAAATTTTGTATCATTTTACCCTTTTCATATTTAATTCAAATTCTTCAGCAGCTTTTTTCAACATATCAGAATCCATTGTCAATGTACCTTCAATTTCTTCAGTTTCTAATGCTCCAATATCTGCATCATCATATGCAGCAAACATCTAATGACAAAACACATTCATTTTCAATTTTAGTTATTGTCTTATTAAAAAGTGTCAATACTTGTTCAAATTGATCATCTATTAATTTTAAATTTTCATTTCGCCTTATAATAGAACTGGACATTGAGTAATCTGTGAAACGTGATTTGGTATCTTCATTGTTTAAGCTACCAATATCATCGTATGCCTCACTGTCATAATGATCACTTTCTTCATTTATGTCTTCTAGTTCATCGATATCGTCATCTGATCTGAAGTTCAATAATCATAGAATACATGTGTTTAATCTAAATATACTATTACGATAACTTACCCAGGTTGATTTGCCATGACCACAAAATCATCTTCCAATTCATTATCTGGATCTTCAAAATTAAAGTCATCGTCCATTGCAGCTACAATGTCTGGGTCCAAATCCAAACGCAAACCTATACCATTAAATGTATTATATAATTAACCTATTAATATTTATGATTTATTCAAAATATTACCAGATTGAGGAGCGGCTTTATTTAACAAGCCCACTTTTTCTTCAACTTCAGACTCAAACACTGAAGAGGGCAACATAACTTTAGGTTTTTCTTTCTTTATTATACAATGAAAAAAAATGTCAAGTTCATACATTATGTTTTTAATATAGAATAAAATACCTATTAAAAAATATTGTTTGTACCTTCTCATTATTATGGTTGGCAGGAGCAGGCAATAATATAAAATCATTGGATCGGCATTCTTTTAGATGTTGTAAATAATCATAATCATCATCAAAATATATCCCATATTTAGCTTCTTCATCTTTGCTTTTTTTCTAAAAAATAAAGCATTATATCTTATAAAACTGAAAAAAAACAGATTATTAATAAAGAAGCTTACTCCTTTTGATTGAGTAGGTTGTTGAGGCACCAAAACATTTTGAGGTGCTGTTTCATCAGTAACAAGCGGATCATGCTGACTTCTGTGTACCACGTGGAAAGTTACAGAATTTTTCTTTTCAATAAATTTTCTTTTGTTCTTTGGCTATTAAAATTTAAATAGTAAAATATAACTAATTATTCAATTTTATTTGTATTCTTATACATTCTTAGGTCATAACAAATACATAAATGATTTTTATTTTTTCTGGATTTAAAAATATTTTACTAAATAAAAGACTTAAATTACCTAAAAATATATTGTTACATTATTATTTATTGATTAACCTTAATTTATTCAAATACCTATATTTAGTAAAACATACTTAAATTATGGTTAATTTAATAAAACAGATTTAAATTGTTTCACCTGCCTAAAAGTCCACTATTTTTTTTCTTCAATTTTTAACACATTTTTTGTCAAAATTAACAACTTAGCTAATTTAATGGGATATTAATAATAATATTTCAATTTTAACACAGTGTATTAATATTGATAAATCATTATCACATAAAATAAATCATAATTCAATTCTGAGCTAACTAATTTCTAGTAAAAATAAACGACTAATAGTTAGGTAAGTATTAAAGCTAGAAATGCAAATTAACTTACCATTTTGATGTTCTAGTTACCACTTTCGTAGAGGATTTAAGATACTAAAATGTTTGGTGTAATGGTGTACCGCGCGTGTTCACAATTTAGTATTTACAAATTATTTGCAAAACAATGTAAATTATAAACTCACAAGCCACGATGTATAAATATTGTAGTTGGTGGTTTATCCTTTATTAAATTGAAGATTATTCTTTTTAGTATCAACAACCGTGAGCAGGACGTGAGCTGCAGTGATAAGCACAAGTTCAAAAAATGATAAGATTTATGTGATTACCACGGTTTTAGGAGATCTTCTAAGACCGTAGTCGTGGTCATCGTAGCTGGTATTGTTCTGTGGTATCAGTAGTGAGGCGATAAGTACTATTTATCAGTGAGCAGTGACTGATAAGGAGAAAAATCACAATTTAAAATTCGAAAAAGATAACTTTTTCAAAGTTTTAATGAGACTACTAAGAACTGAATACCAGCAAATATCATTTACAGGAATTGATACCAGACTGCAGAGACTGTCTTCGTCGCAGATACAAGGAAAATATTCCACGGAGCGGGCCCTACGACAGTGAAACCCCTCATTCCAACCGGAGGGTGAATAATCGTTACCGAGCGATGGAAGGTACGGTCATTGCTTGTCTATAATTCTTAGCGTTTTTTTATTTCCTCTCTCCTATCGTTTCGCGATCGATCGACCGCCATGTCGTTGAGAAACGTAGCCCGGAAGCTGCTGCTGTCGCGTTCACGAATCTTGGGTCCTGGTCTCGCTCCACTGCCGCAACAGCAGCCTCGCCGGTCCGTCGGCGCGTACGAGAACGACGGCAAGACGTACGTGTCCATGTTGAATAACAACAATATCCGGGAAGGCATCATGGTTTCCGCTTACAGCCAGTACGGTTTCCGGTTGAACAACGGATTCGTGGTGCTCGGGCCGGTCGTGTGCTTCGCCAACTCGATAATGGCCTGGCGCGTGGAAGACGATCGGGACGTGGGTGTCGACTCGCTGTCGATGCTGTTCCACCTGGAACCCGCTCCCTCCGTCATCGTGCTGGGCCTGGGCGACGGGCCGCAGCGGAACCGTCGCGACGATAATCACCGCAAGCTGCAGCTTGACCGGCGACAGTTGGACAGGGTGGTGTGGGCCGCAGCCCGGCAGTACGGGTGCACCGTCGAGGTGCTGCCCGTGGACGCGGCCCTGGCCACGTACAATTTCATCATCAGCGAGGGCCGGCACGCGGCCGGCTTGTTTATACCACCTCGGTTCATACCGGCAATGGACGACGACGCGACCACGGCCAACGCGCGCCACGTCCAACTGTACGGCTCGAGCGTACCGGTCACCGACGTGTGGGTGGACGCGGATGAGCGTACCGAGCTGATTAACTCAAACTACCGGGAGTTCGCCGAAGTGGTGGGCGCGCAGAACGCTGCTGACAACGAGATGCGGGCGAAATTGGCCGGGGACCGGAAGCCGGCCGAGGACCCGGAAAAGAAGATCCGGTGATCTGCAACGACCGCGTTGTACTATGCCGCCTTTGTTGTAGTCGACCGTTGTTAATTGCCCCATTTACCTGTAATTTCCAACGTTATTGTTCTTGTAAAAATATACATAATTTATTTGTTTGCCATTCTGCAACTATGTATGTATAGATCGGCAAACTTCGAAACAATGCGATGTTTTTATTTTTCTTTTATGTTAAGTTCCTACACGTCATAGGTACTACTTTTATGCATCGGGCCCCGATGATCGGGGTGGTAAGATCATTAACTCTACAATATGATCGAGGCATCAGGGTATTGAAGTGTGAAGACACCACTCAACATTATACTTAATTTTTGACATCACGCCTGCTTAATATGCATAATGCAATAGTATAGATTTTAAATATATTTTTCAAAAAGACACCATATGCTAGGTACAGTAGTGGTCTGACGACTTCAGGTGTCGTTGAGAGGAAGAGAATGAAGTGTACTTTTTGTAATGAGTTTGAAAACCGTCGAATGTGTTATAATTTGTTGTATTATTTTCAATTAAGCACTTTAAATTTCACTGGTAAACTATTACCTACTCTGAATTAAAATATTTATCTCATAGAATTATTTTAAGTGTTTAGAAAAAAAGTCGGTTTAACTAGAATATTTTCTAAGTCAAAATAATAAATCAAAAGGCTGACTGGCGCGAAGGTGCTCAAATTCGATTGGTCAAATCACATCTGAATAAGGGCTGTTTGGGGCTCTTCTTTATAGGCCTACCCTCTACTTCTCCTGCGTGCGTCTGTAATCTTCTCGGAAATGCTGTCCACGGCTTGAAAGTTGAAACGAGTGCGCATCCTGTGTGGCTGGCGGCTGCATTTCCGTTGAAATATATTATTATATTAATATGTATGTATGTATTCTCCGATATCTGCTGCTTAATTTTCTAAGCATTTTTATAATATTCGATTCTGTATAATATTGTGTTTCTATCTCTCACTGTCGTGCCCGAACCCACGCGTTATTACTTTATCACCTATATATTATGCCTAATGTTTATTCAGTTGTTATAATTCGTGAGATATTTACTCCTGACATCTGGGATGTTGATATTACAAAAAATGAGTACTTACTACAGCCTATAAGAGTTTTTTACGTAACATACCGCTTCCACCTCTGAAAGCCAAAGTTAATAGTTGTATGAATGTTATGTAAATTACATTATTAAGAAAGCGGGACTCCAGTCCATAGCAGTACCGAACATTTTATCATGGTAGTACAAATATACAATGTGTCAAAAGGTACCTATATAATATGTTCTTATCAATCGTAGGTACCTATAATCATTCAAATCTTTTTTTTTCAACTGATCTGTAAGTTATGAGGTGGTGAGATTTGTCGAGTGAACTAATGAATTGCAGTATTACACCATTTCATATTATAATATAACACATTTTTAGCATGATTTTCGTTGCTGTATATCATTGGATAGTATTTAATACCTGGATAATTATGAGTTATGAACTAATTATTTATTTATATCAGTGCATTTTGTAAGTGCTAATGAAAACTATGAAATAGCTTCATCAGTCTCGTTTTTATGTGATCGCAATTTGCATTCATCGAGGAAAATACATTTCCACAACAGTATGTCTGCATGTTGACTATAATATTAACAGTTATATAGCGGTAGTCTTTGATAAAGTGTTAGACCTATATATTTAATAGTAAGAGAGTAGGGAATGGAGTAGGTACTATATATACTATACAGAAACATTAGGTTTAGGATGCGGTGCCAGCCTGAGAGTGAAGGTGTATGAATGGATTTGTTTTGGTTAAAACTTAATAGTTTTTGCTATGTTGTACATTTCTAAGACGGAGACAACACATGCGGGAGTGGCGTCATCTTCTTTAAAATGCCATTCGGTAAAACAAATTCAAATTGAATAAGATAATTTTTCAGATTATTTGAGGCAGTGAGATCATTGTTGATGGAAGTTATCGCTTTGTATTCAGAGTATGCAGCTACTGATTTATTATAAGATTGGTTGGTTGGTCAGAAACGTTAATGTTGTATAGAATAAAGGTCCTCACACACTGCAGCGGTGGCGGTAAATTGTGCCCGGACTCATTTTACCGCCACCGCCACCACGTCTTGTGTGGGGACCTTTTTTTTTTTTTTTTATTTAGAAAAAGACAATCTATACACATAGTCTGTACAATAAGTCATTAAGATAACATCAGTGTGGGGACCTTTAAGGATAATATTTCGACTTAAGAAACATTGGCGGTTATAACTTATTGATATGCAAGAGTGTACAGCTCCATAGCGAATTTGAAAATTACATTCTGTGAGATAAGATAAGGTAATAACTAATAAGCAGGAGAAAAACATCTTTTAAACTCATACGGAAGGTCGTTGTGTCAAACACGATCAAAAGCATAATAAGAGGTGTCCAAAAATACACACGTACACAAAATTTTTTTCCAGGGAATATGACACTTACATCTTATACTATCTTGTGAACTTGAACACCTAAAGTCAAATGAGAAGTACGAAAGCACGGTTTTTCTATAATGATGGGTAATATACGTTTGAGAATTAACCTTTCAAGTATTTAAACAAAGAACGGTAAAAGACTAATTGGTCTATGCCCAATGGGATGACAGTAGATCAGGAAGTTTATTTGGCGTTGAGACATAAATTATAGTTGACAATTGCCAAATAAGTAGAAAATAAACTCAAATAATTAGATATTGACAAGGGTTGTATATACAGTGGTGTGGTAAAAATGTTCAAAGGCTAGTGTAATATTTCATCCACCGTGTAGTACCAATAACCCGATGAAAGATCATTCGCTGTTATATTTGTTACCACCTGTAGGAGTTATTACTAAAATACCATAGTTAATATTAAATTATCACCTATCGGCCATCACTTTCTGATAAACTCAGAGGCGAACGTGTTTCGAGCCGCGCTACTGTTTGTTTACTCATATGTGCTACCTAAAAATATCGAAAATCTAAATGCACCTCTAGGTACTTTATAGTTGTGCGACTACTGCGACTTCCCCGTATTTTTTTTATGAACATTAGAAAACTTAAAGAACGTTCTAGGTAAGTATACCATTTACAATAAATTCGGGCGCCGTGCTCAGAATTGTTTTCTGAAAACCAAATGCAATGATATAATGTTATTTTAAAATTAAGTGATTGGGTGCCAACTGAAGTACTGATAGGAATATCTTCTTGTTTATCTAGTTTATTATATTAGTACCTATTATTTATTGGTGAAAATGTGTTCTTTTTTTACTTTCATCACACTAAAACAATACTATGTATTAAAGTACATAAAATACAATTTGTTATAGACACAATATTACAACTATTTATTGTCGGAGTTTTATGGGGCAGCACAAATCCATTTCTGAAAGCTGCAACTAATAAAGTGAAAAGAAATAAGACATTTAATTTAATTTCTGAGGTCACTGATCATATAACCAATTGGCATGTGAGTACTCTATATGTATCATTATATAATACATTTATTAATAAAGTTCCTACATAATACAAATTTGAGGAAATTTAATCATGTTCTATTTTAGTATTTGATACCATTTCTTATCAACCAATGTGGTTCTCTATTGTTCTATTTCACTCTAAAATATTCAGGTAAAAAGAACAGATTACTTCTTGACATATTATCATACATTCATACTATTTAGTTAGTACAATGTGCAACTTAAAAATAAAATACCTATAAACTTCTTTTAGACATATCGTTGGCTGTTCCTATTGCAAATGGAGTTTCATTAGTGAGTACATCAATTGTAGGCACTTTGATTGGAGAAGAAAAGCCGAAATTGCGTAAGTTCATTAACACTTTAAATTTTAAAATCTTTCAAACAACATCACATAATATTGTGGCATACACTCATTCTATTAATTATGTTAAGTGCTCTACAATGTTAAACTAAAACAATTTTAATTGATTTATCAACTTTTAAAATGTATATAAATACATCAATTTCATAAACATTAATTGGGTATTTGGAAAAAAAGTTTTAAATACCAAAGTAATATTGGTTTATGATTAATTAATTAAATATTTGTGATGAACTGTTAAACATTTAAAATTTGTATTTTTTGTCCCTTATAGTAATAAAGATTTTATTTTCAGGAACAATGGTTGGAATACTATTTCTACTATTTGGTATTTTTTGTTTAATTATAGATAAGAAATTATGAACAACAATTTGTTATTTATTGTGATCTATTTTTTTTTAAGCATCGGCAAACTTGGTAGTTGGTACACATGGGCACATTACATTTTGTGTTTACAATTCTTTTTTATTCAAACAAATAATATAGGTACAATAAATAAATATATTTTTAAAAAATAAAAAATAAAACAAATAAATGTGACTAGGTGTACAACATTAAATATAGGAGTAAATATAAATTATATTATTATATGTGTAAGCTTTAACGAAACAAAACCATTTCAATACACAATAAGTAATAAATTATACAATAAATAAAAAGCATTTAAATAACTATTATATCAGTCTAAATAATTTGACTAAATAAAAATAAAAATAAAATAAATACATTCATTGGTACTAGTCTTTTTGTTGAAGTATTAATTTTGAATTTATCAACTGTTATTACTTCATTGTTACATAATGACTAAAAAGTTAAATCTACAAATACATGCGTACCTAAAATGTGTTTAATTTCAATTTTTAATTTTTGTTGAGTTACCTACTTTAGTGAATATACATAACTTAAAAATAAATAAAACTTCATTATATCAAAGAAAACTTCTCAATTGAGTTAATGGAAAACAAATATTGTCTTGTGCAATTTAATTATCAAAATACATTTTTCTAGACTTTAAAAAATTACATCAAAATATTAAAAACATTAATCGATTAATTTGCTAACCAAAAAATATAAATGACAAGTTCTGCTCAAATTTAAAATGGTTGGTAATATATATCATTAATTTACATAATAAAATTTCTTTTTTTTTTTTGGGGGGGGGGGAGGGTGGTGGTTATTTGTATATTATTAATATTTGTTTAACCTGGAAAACAATTACTTTTAGAAAATTAATATAGTATAATATAATTAAATTAATACCACGTCATCGGTAATTTTCTTTAATGGAATTTTGGGTTTAAATGTAAATAAGCAAATATTAGTTGAGAATAGCAGCTTTGTAGTGCTACAACTGTGAAAACAACTGCCTACTTCTATAATAACTTAATTTCAAAAATATTTCTGTTGCCTTGATGACTGGCAGCATTATAACTTAACACAGCACAGCGTTCAATATAAATATATATAATATTATCATTATCAATAACATTTTAAACATTGAGCCAGTATTTTTATTATTATTGAAATTAAAAAATGTTTGAAGTAGAAGTACTTAATTTATATAGGTACACATACATTTCATAATAAATATTAGAAAAACAACTTATTAAAAATAAATGTCTCACTTGATAAACAATAGATTTTAAGATTATTTTGATGAACACTAAGGAAATTAAATAGTTTCTAAGTGTGCTCTATTCCATACAAATTACAAATTCTCATTATTTAAATAAAATTACTAAGCCTTAAAATATTGTGGAAACTGGTTTAACTGATAATTTTGCTTCTTAACTTCTACTTATTTTTAATAAAACTCAAATCACATAAATGTGTATGAAAAATAAATAAATGCATTAGGAACATAATATATTAGTAGAAGTGTAGAACATTAATAAAAACTCAAATAATACACAATGGTATCTTTGAACTAAAGGTTATGGTGTAATATTATATTTTTGTGAGGTAAAATTATTAAAAAAGAGTTTACATTAGATTCCCATTTTCATACAATAATTAATTTTTTAAATTTAAAAATTTAAAACTAAATTATTTTCTTGATTTAAAAAATATTGTGTATCATTTGACTATACGTAAAACATTGTTATCAATGTTATTCATAAATGTATTCAAATAACAATGTTTTGTTTCCAATGTTTAAGATTTTGAGTTACCTATCTATTGATAATAAAATAATATAATATCTAAAATTTGAGCACTAAAAGTAATGTTACCCATAAGATCTAATAGAATTAGATTACATAAATTCTTTAGCTAGATTCATAATACTATAATTACCAACACATACAAATTATTTAGTTTGTATAAAATATGACAACAAGTTGTAACAAAGAATGGTTTTCTTAATTATTGTTTAATTTAGTTTAGTTACAAAATGGACTACCATATTAACTGTTTTCCCATAAGGCTATCACAAAAACAACATTCTAAATATAAAACTAAAAACTCAATATCTTAAGTACCTAATTAAAACATATAAAAGTTTCAGTTAAAATATTTTATATCAATCATACTCTACTACATACAACCAAATATGTGTGAGCTTTTTGTTCTTTATTTAGTTTTTGTAGTTTTTTATGCATCTACTTACAAAGTTATGTAAATATTTCATAATTTATATTTAAACTGAGTAGTAATACCAGAAAAATTTCAGTTATCTAGACATACTGTCATACTGAGTAAGTAATGGTATAGAGTTAAATATGAAGTAAATATCTATGTAGATACTATACTCTGTCTCAAAAGAAAATAATCGGCCGACCAAATTACGTCAGTGCTGCGCTTCTCCCACCAACTTCCCAGCGTAGCGTGATCACATGGTTCTTGACGCACCAGTTGCATCATTTCCAATGCACAATAAGTAATTATTCTCTTTTGTGACAAAGTATAGATACAATGAATATTATGTTGATCCAAGTACATTATAAAAAAACGTTTCAATTAATTTAACTTGAGTTAGACAATTGTATTTTTATTATTATTAAGGCACTTGGATATGCTGATTGAAAAGTTAATCAAATATACAACTATCTTACAGTAAAATATTGTATGGCATTATATGCTTTTAAATGATTACTTTTTATTATGACTGTTTATTTTAATTAATTACTTTTTATTATGTCTTTACTTTAGCATTAGATTAACATGTTACTTACCACTAAATAATTTAAATTTATAAACTGTTAGATTTATCTGCTTCTCTTTTGATTATTATTGGGTTCACTTTTCCTTTACATTCTTCTGAATGTGAATCACATTCTTCTTTATTTATCATCTTAGAACATTTATCACATTTATAAACACCAATTATTTTATGTCTTTTTGCCATATGACTTCTTAGTTTTAATTCATATACAAACTTCATGTTACAATACCCACATTCTATCTTATCCATTATATGCTTATCTTCAACATGAGCTAATGCTTTTTTGGTATTCTTGAAATCTATATTGCATAGAAGACAAATTGCTTGGTCTTTGTTTGGACTATAGACGTAGGATTTCATTCTATTCATCAAGCTGTCCTTTTTAAAATCTGGCAGTAGTGTTAAATCAATGGTATTTGATATGTGCTCGTAATTTTCTATCTGCTTGATTTCATTAACAAGATTTTTTTTCACAATTTGCCTTTTTACACCCAATTTAGTTTGTGATTTTTTCTCTTTATTTGGGTCTTCTTTATTAGTTGTTTCATTATTGTGTTCAGAATTCAAATGACATATAAGGCCAATATTATGACGAAATGTTTCACTACACATTGTACATGGATATTCTGGTTCAATTTCATCAACTAATATTTGTCGCAGAGATGGTAAAATATTATTTGTTGCAATAGTAGGTCTGGGTACCGATTTGAACATTATTGGTAATAATTCTGGTATTGAAGGGCGACGTAGGGGAATAGTTTTAGGAACAGGTTTAAGAACATTTACAGAAAATTGAGGTGGTACAACATCATTCTTTTTTGGTGGCCTGCCGCGTTTCTTTTTAACAACTGAGTGCTCAGATTCGAGGGTTTCAGCTGTTTTTCTTTTTTCTATAGTATTATTTGGTTTATTGGTACAACCTCCTATCCTTCCTTTAAACTTTCTGATGTGATTGAGTAAATCATTGTTAGTGGTAAATATTCGAGAGCATAGTTTACACGTTAAACTGACTTTTGTGGATAAACCTGAAGGATTCAATGAAGTAGAAGTAGTATTATTTATATGATTGTTTAATTCAACAATTTCCACATCTGAATTTTCTTCTATATCATTATCTAATTCAACAATTTCCACATCCGAGTTATCTACTATATCATCATCTAGTTCAACAATTTCCACGTCTGAATCTGAATTATCTAATATTTCAATTGTTTGATTATCATAATTTGGTTCATCAATAACTAATGTACCATCTGAACTATCTTCACTTTCCAGCTCAGCCATATTTCTAAACAATTATAAAATAGTTTAGGATGATTTCATTAGAGAAATTGGTGTATTAGTTAGGTACAAACTGACGCGAAAAAAATAATTTTTTTTATGAAATATTTAGGTATCTAACACATTTAGTTTGAATGGTTTAAACAAATGATTGGGTCTATAATTATTCTAATCATACATACCGACATGCATAATATTGATTAGATAAATAATAATCATGATTAAAACAAAGAAAAATGTACTTATTTTTATAATTAGATGCATGCATGCATGCAAAAAAAAAACATATATATATAGCTATACGTATATTGATGCAGAAATAAAATATCAATTGAAAACATGTACACTTTAATTTAACATGATGTTCTTAAAATAATTAATTTAAAGATAAGAAAAAAAAATTAAGTTTACTCAACCACAACAAGACATATCAACAAAATACAAAGTTATTTGACGATTAATATTTCCATTTCCGTAACACTATGTGTATATATATATATATATATATATATGTATATTTAATTTACATTTCAGCATTGAGATAAACTTGAATTCATAATTTTAAACTAAAACTGCTATTATAGTAAATGCCTACATTATATTATTTGTGCAGGTATGCCGAGCATTTTATCCGGCATTTAAATTATCGAGACTAGCCAAATACTCACTCGTTTTTGGTTTAATATTTTATTAAGTACACTATTGCCGTCGAATCATTCAAATTGAGTTAAAATAATTATAGGTAGTCTTATATTATAATTTAAAACTAAAATTTAAAAGCAGTTAAATGGTTCAAGACAATTTCCGAGGGCCAAACTGCGCGCGTTGGGCGCATCTGACACTAACCACTAAACAAGTAAGTACCCAATTGTTTCGAACTGACACACGGAAGGCATAAATAATTTATTGCACACATAATATAAATTAATAAATTACTAAATACTAAATAGTAGGTACTAGGTACTATAATAGTATCTAAAAATAAAATAAAATAATAGTACCAAGAAATATACAAAGCGAACACAAAATGTCTAAAAATGATATCAAACAAAGTACCTACTTTACAATGTTGTTCAGTTGTGGATCAATCGTATGTTTAAATTTGGCAACATCGCAAAGAATACTTTTTGAGGAAATTACGTTTTGCACATGAATAAAAACCAAAATATTTCCACAAACAGTTACCTTCGTCAACCGGTATTGCTGTCAAAATTTCCGAATGTATTTCTATTTTTGAAGTGGACATTTTTGTTTTATTATTATCAGTGGACAGCGATGGATTCCCATTCGGTGCATGGAGTAACATGGCAACCATTTTTGTTTTGTATTTATCGCGCCAAAACCGGAACTTATGATGAATGATAATAAACCCATTAGTAAATAGTAATTAGTCTGATTTTTGATCTTAACTCTAAAGTTGTTGTTCGAAGTTCATCCATCCGATCTATAGGCTAAATAAATTATTAAACGGAAATTCAATCTAATGTTGTACCCATCGTAAAAGTAAACCATCAGTCGTGACTCGTATATTAAGAATTTTGATTGTGATTTGTTATTGTAATTTTTAAAGCTCGGGTTTTACTTTTTAACCCGTGTACGACGAAAGATTTAAAGCAATCATCTCAATTGTTGAAGTTGTTTATTTTCCTAGTTTCCTATTATGAATGCACTCAAGTGAAAACACACACAGAAGTAAGTACTTACCCATTTCATTATCGATACCTAAGAATTAAGATGTGAAATTAGTAAATATTGAGCAACATGAACGATTTTTATAGTATGATTTATACTAAATACATGTATTTAGTCATGGCATGATTATTAAATACAACATAAGTTGGTCATTGGGTAATGTATATAGTCCCTGGTTAGGTTACTCCTATTTAAACTTTCTATTTTACTCTATAAGTTCAAATTAATGGTTTATATTAATGAAAATTGATATTTATTTTGTCTAAAAGAATTTAAATAATATATTTACATTCTACACATAGTTCTCAATGTTGAATGTTAATTGTAGTGAGATTAAAATTATAGCTGGGTTAGTTAAAAGATATTTAAAAAAGTTGTCTACTTTCCTAAAAAATCCTACAGTTTTAAGAAATAATAAGTTATTTGATGTTTTAGCTATAGCCTATAGGCTATTACCTATATAATATATTAAATAATTAATGTTTAACTGTTTTTTTCATCAATTAATTCATATATTACGTATCATTGTTGATTATTATTATCATCATTATTAAATGTTTAGTTTAAAGTAAATATATATAAGCTAATATTTAAAAATATTCATAACAAAGAAATAATAAAGTTGGATTCTAGTAGTTCTATTATCAATTTATATAATTTTGTACCTAATTTTCATTTACATAAATGAGTGTAAAATCTCTTATGTAGGTATATGTATATTAGAAATCTCTTTATGGAAAATATGTTTTTTTTGCATATACCTAGTCATTGGTTGTTATATTTTATTATCCTGAAATATTCTTTTGTTTTTTAACCTTTTTGGTATATCCATAGACCTAAAGTATAAGGTCTATGGGTACACATCATGCGGTAAGATTCAGCCACAGATACATGTATATTTATATATCTAAATGGCAGTATCAATGGTTGTGGCCAACGCTCACTGAAGCATTATTGTATTTTCCCAACAACCATAAGATAGTATTTTGTCAAGATAAATATGGTATATTTTTTGCCTGCTGACAATACATTATTTATTGAGATGTGTGGTCTGACTGAATCAGACTTAAGTCAGCCTGAGCTGACTCTTAAATGTGACATAGTGTAGTAACAAAAATTATTTTGTTGAACACTTAAGAAGATCTTCCCATTCATAGATAGTGAAACATTAATATGGAAGGCATATTTATTAATCAATTATACTTATCAATAATCATTGTGTGATGTCTGCTGATGAAAACACAAGTTGAAAAAATCGAGAACTATTGTTATAAAATATAATATGCCATACTTGATGGTGGAGTCGTGGAAGATTGTAAAAAACTTCTATACTATCCATATAGAACAGAACAGATGTCTATAGATGTATTATTACAATTTACACAAATTAGTTCATTTATATTTAAACGGTGTCTAAAATTTTATTAATTCAACAAGTCAGTGTAGGTATTCAACATATTATTGTATCGCTTATGTTATTGATCTTAAATTAGCATGCTATAAATCATATTTTTATATTCGAGTTATATAAATAAATCCTCTCTCATGAATAATATATCTTATGGGGTCCCTAAAAAATGCATTATATATCATATATATATTTTATACTTATAGGTCTATACAAATGTATAATATATTGGTCATATACAATTTAAGGTTATACAATGTGGATTGTATTATTATTCACCAAGATATATTATACAAAGTATCAACACTATTAAGTTGAGATATTATCACACAAGTAAGCTTTTGTGAAAGTAACAATAATTAAACATTCAAACATTAATTTTATGAAGGCATTTTCCAGTTATTCGAGCAAAATTAAATGCGTAACCTTGAGAAAAAATTTGAATTAAAAACATTGAACATATTGATTAACTATTTTCATTTCAATGTTTTTAATTAAAGTAAAGCCAGATGATATTTTAGAAATTAATAATCCTCATTTATTTATATTTTATACCTATTATAGTTAAAGTACCTAATCAAAAAAATAAACACTTTAATTATCTTTGTGCTTAATAGTATATGGTCAATAAAAAATTAATTTGTATTAGGTATACTTAAAACAATTTAGAACAATTTCAATTAAGTAATGTCAGGATTCTACAATAATTATTATACTTAATTAGCAATTTATTTGTAATTAAAAATGTACGCAACGTTAATTCTGTGTTAATATATTAAATATAAAATTAAATAATTATATATTCAATTTTATGTTTAGTTTATTAATATGTAGGATAGTTATATAATTTATAAAAATATGTAACTACCACAATTTCAACAAGGTTACAAATATTTATATAAGTTAAAGACTTAAAATGCCTTCACAAGAGTATAAAAATATTATGTTAACAATTTATTTAAGTTCGTTTAGTAACAATTTTAGTTTGTTCGAAGAAAAAAGTATAAAATTCATAAACTTTTTAATATTAAAAAAAGGGTGTGTATACATCTTGATTTGCCTTCTAGACATGTTGTGGATTGATTCATTCTATGATCTTTTAAGACATACAATATATCCTTTACTTGCTAAAACTCCTCTGCATTTAACATGAGTTAGGTATCTTATCATCCATTCAAGTTTAGGTATTTTTTGTTTTAGTTCAGTTTGGTTTCCAAAAACTTCAGCTAAGCACGATTGGGGTAAAATTTCTAAAAAAAAAAAAAACATCATTTAAAAACAAACAGGTAGGTATGTGATTTTTAAAAATGTATTGTCTTATAATTTGGTCTATTACCTACACAGATATTTGGAAATAGTATGATATTTTTTAAACAAATTAAAACCTAGTCACAACAAATAAAGTAAGATGAAGAGAAAAATACAATATTTCAGATTTTGAAAAATAATTAATTGAACTTTTTTAATGCCATCAAAGTATCCAACCTATTATAAAAATCTGCAAATACTACTGTTTTACCTATTTATTTAACATTACTATTTTATTTTATTTATCTACTTATTTTGTTTAATTCTCATGTTACTAAGTACATAAGACTTTTTCAATATTTCTAATCTTTAATCTACCATTGTAAACCTTTTCAGGCTAATGACCTCTGATGTCGAAGCCTTATTCTTAATAAAAAAAAAAAAAAAAATTAATTGAATAAAATTTAATTCTAACTTAATAAGTAAGAAAGAGGGGCTGGATTTTTATTACATTTTTGTCTTGTGTTATGACTATCATAGATTCATAAATGTTATTTAACATAGCATATTTTAAGTTTGTTTTTTATTTTAAATACTTATGCATGTCTATTTAATTATGTAGTTAATTTTTTATCTTGAATGATAAATTCAAAGAATGTTGCATATTTATTTGTGCACTAATGATTAAACATTTTTAGTGTAACCTAAAATTCTATAATAACCGGAATTCAAATGTTTCTTCTATATTATAATATCAGTAATAGTCAGTAAGTAATAAGTAATAACCAATAAGTGTATAATTTTATTTATAATAAACTGAATAAAAAACATTGGAAGTAGATGTAGTAGTCATACAGATCTTTAGTAAGATTTTTATTTATTTATTAAATAAAAAAAAAAATGTTAAACCCATTTCTTCTATTATAGTATAATTTTCATACTAAACTTTAAAAATACTAGTAACCAAAAAGTATTTGGAAATAATAAAATATTCCAGAAATACCAAAATAGTGTTTTAATGACCATAACTTTTAAGTATTTCTGTAATATTTCCATAACATGTTAATTTCATATACTCTATTTATACACACATTGAGTTAATAAAAGCATACTCAATTATGAAAATAAAAATTCAACACAATGTTGTAAAATATGTATAATATTAATATTTAGGTAAATTTTTTAAAATACCTTTTGAATCACTGTGTGTCAATAACTGTATTTCATTATCTTTAGTAAATTCTTGAAGGGCTTCTGGTACAACACAACAAGAGTTCAAATTAATTTGAACAATAGTTGGCTTAATCTGAGATCAATGCATTTAATTAATATTTAATATACAAAATAGAATACAATGAACTTACAATTGAGTTATTGTACAGAGAAATGAACAAATCTGTGTCAATGTCACTCACACCGATACGTGTGATTTTCTGTTTGTTAACATATCCTTCAAGTATGGACCATAGAGTTAATAAATCTGCTAACAAGGTATCTTTACCATGGTTAAATGCTAAAATCACAGAATCTACAACTTCTTCGTTCAATTCTTTAAAAACTAAAACAATAGATTAATTAATTCTATTAAACATAGTACACAATATTAAATAATAAATCGGTATCTTACGATTTTTTAAAGAATCTTCCAAAACATCCACCTCATTTGTTGTAAGAAAAACCTTGACACTTGTTTTCAGAGCTAAATCTTCTTCATTGTCATTATTGTAGCACTCATCACATTTTAAATGTACATTTTTTTCGTTTAATGCAAATGGTGATGGATACTTGGATAGACAAATGCTTAAACATTCAACTACCTAAAATCATGCAGAGTCACCAAATAAATATATCATATTATTCAGGTATCTACAAAATTCAAACTTAATAATTATTGTTACCTCTTCAGTTGCATTTTGACCAGCTTTTTGTGTCAATTCATTGGCATTCAACACATTTCCAGTATGAATATAAATTTTTGAAACAGTTTTTGGAATATCGTATGGCATTGTAAAATCACTGTTGATAGTATAGAACACAATTGCTATAATGTACGGGTAATGTAGTAAATATCGATTTTCTAAGCAAATTACCAACACGTTGAGACGGATATTTGAGCAAAACGTACGAATTTGTACCTAGGTCGTGCATGCACGCCACACACAATCGAAATAAAAAGGGAATGATTATTCAGACGTCCTAAATAGTAGTACAATTTCTGTTATCAATTCCAAGGTCATCCGCGGGAATACAACTGTTGTATGTACTTGCGCACACAATATCACATGGTCATTATTATTATTATTTTTTACACGCCAATCGCTCATTATTATAATACAATGCTACATATACATATTACATGCGGAAAACACGCAATTTCAAGCGGCAATTAAATATACCTAGTACCTCATAAGTAATAATAATACTACCGCCGCCGACGATAAGATTGGAGTACGAATAAACAATAAACGTCTACGAGTGGTTAGGTATCTAAGTTAAAACTTGTTACGTACCTAGTCGTTATCCGTGCTTGTGTTTATTTCACGCATAAAAATAATCACAAGTTTTTTATCGGAAGATTTATCGTCACCGTATCGCACGACCGGCATTCCGTTCACTATGCCTGTTGATTATATTGGATTTGCTTACGCCGCAACGGTAGCAGCCGGAGGCATCATCGGCTACGCAAAAGCAGGTATGACGCTTTCATTCAAAATAAATAGGTACCTATAAATTATATTATTCCTGAAACGAACACATTCTGGTATTACTGTGTGATATACATGGTTCAACTACCTAGATGGTGACTCACAGCTATAAAGATTAAAAAAACAATTTCAATTTTTTACCGTTGCAACATGTACATCTATACATTGTGCAAACAGATTTTTCTAGTTAAAGTTTTGAGTTATTCAATCTCTTCCAATTGTGTTAGATTATTTGAAAATAATAATTGATTTGATATTTTTGGTTTTAGCTAGTATTCCAAGTCTGTCTGCAGGATTGTTGTTTGGATCTCTTCTTGGGTATGGTGCGTATCAAACAACAAAAAATCCCAATAACTTGGCTCTTTCATTGGGTACAAGTGCAGTTTTAGGAGGAATAATGGGTGTCCGTTATCTTAATAGTGGAAAAGTCATGCCAGCTGGTATACTGGCAGCTTTAAGGTACATTTTTTAACTATTTTAATAATTTGTTATCACATTTAGTTCATTAAAATACATTATTATTTATTTATTTATTTATTTCAATTAATTTGTAAACACCTTTTTAGTAAGTGTAACAAAATATTACACATAATATGAAAGAAATTGATATCTGGATTCACTTCGTTTGAAATTCCCTTAACAATCAATTCTTGTATTCTGTTAGATTTTTAAAGAGGAATGTGTAAGAGATGTTAAAGTCTTGTGATTATCATTGTGTACCCAAAACTTCAACCCTTTAATAATATAAGTAGCATCAATCAATTCATTTATAAGATTGTAGGGAAATAAAAGGTTAATCTTTGTTCATCTGTTTTTAGGGGTATTAAGATGATAACGATTTAGCTTTTGATTTGAAATTAAACATTTATATTATAAAGCTATTAAAAGAATAACAAAAGTTTTGTGAAATAAATTACTTGGAGAAACTGTGTTAATTTTAAACTGGGGGGGGGGGGTATTTAGCTTTACTCAACGTGTAGATGACAAATAGATGAGGTACTTCAGATTCAGGGTCATGTTTGGATTTTTTTCTAGGAGGTGATAAGATCGAAACTATTTTGCATATTAGGAGGAAGGGTTATCACTTAGGATAATCTATGGATTTTATAATTATATCCACCAGTATAAGAAATATAACCAATGCTATCAGCAACAGTGTTACAACAACAGCTTTTTAAGATATCTGCTTCGATAGGTTAGGTTTCACCCTAGTTTGATATCTACTTGTGGATAAAAAATTTGTTTTGGTAAAAGTTCAAAAATGTAATATAAGGTTTCTTATAAGTTGTTCTTTTTAAAATTAAAAAATATTTTGTAGTTAAAAATTCATAAAACTTAAATATTAATTCTTTAGACCTGAAAATTTAAGATCTATATAGATTCCTCGTGAGTTTTGCTTACACAAATTAAAAACCTAAGTTATGCATAATACAGCCTTATTCATTTTTTTGTGTTGAAGTTATAATGCAATTTGATATTCCACACATTAATAATAATTTTTTTATTTTAATTCATAAAATATTCTTTCATTCACATTTACTCCATTATTGTATATATTGTAAATTAAAAATATAAATGATATATAAATTAAAAAAAAAAACATTCATACTTCAAAATTTCTCTTAAAATTGTTCGTTTATAATTTGACTATTGACTAGTGATCAATTTGGAAGACATCAAGACAAACATTAATATTTGTAGGCTGTTCAAGTCTTATGACAGTTTAATTTGGTTGTGTATACTTGATTATTTTGTAGAGATGTATATCATAATGATATCATAATAATATAAAATTATATATATTATCTAAAAATTAATAGAATAGCATATACTAATTAAATAGAGTTTGACTTTTTCTCATTCCAAGTTATTGTATAATATTATTATTTTATATTTGAAAATATACTATAAATGATTTTAATCAAAAAATAATTCTAGTAAATATGAAATGTTTATGCTTGAAAACGTCTATAAAAATAAAATAAGGTAGTTAAATCCTCGGTGAAATCTTAGTTTTAGACATTATTTTTTTATTATTTTAATTATTATATTCTAATTTTAATTTTACGTTCTGAGGTCACTAACACTCGGCAATTAATTATTTTTAGCATATTACTTAATCATTTTTATCAGACAAAATGATATATTTACCTAAATACCTATTAGATTAAAACAAATGACTAATAAGATACATATATACTTCCTGTTATTTTAAATGGTCCAATCTTATTAGTCTTCGAGAGTGCTAGTGAGATGATTTTATAAATTAAAAATGAATAGTCCAATAGTACCTTTTTTGAGCTGTATGGATACAAAATGATAGTAATATTGAAATGTTTTTTTAAAGTTTCTTCTAAAATAACATTTACTTAAAACCAAAAAAATAGTGGATTTAAGTATTTTAAAAAGATTATTTGAGAGTCACATAATTTTGCTGTTATTTGCTTATATAATTAAGTCATAGTATGGTTTAAGGTACTTGTAAAAATAGTATTGATGTCATATATTTGATTGAGAGCTTAGACTATAACACTATAAACAAATAGATGTAATTGCACTTATAATGATGTTATTGCTTAGTTATTATTTATTGTACTATATATGTCGTAGGCATATAGTCAAATCAGGCATTTTATCAAATGCCTAGGCATATAGTCAAAAAATTTAATGTTTATGCAATTTCACTATCCGCCTAGACATTTAGTTAAATGCCTAGTCATTTAATTAAATGACTAGGCATTTGACTAAATGCCTATTTCATGCCAGGCAAATAATAAAAAAACATTAGCTGTGTATTATTTATTAATATGAAAAACACGTAGATACTCGTATATGAAATAATATGTTTAATTTTGTGTTAATTATTATTTAGTATTGTTTTAAAAATGAAATCATAAATATATTCAGGTAATAACTAATTAGATGTGATAGACATAAATGATAGTACGAGTATTTTGTATAGCATATATAGTCAATATAGTCTATAGTACGAGTAGTGAGTACTATATATTCTTATTAAATAAAAATAAAAGTTCCATTGGTTTTTACCTTGGAAAATTAACGTGGGNTATTTTAAAACCAAAAACTAAAACCGAAAATATTATTTATGTTGTACCATATGAAAACTATTTTGAAAAAATCGAAGAAAGCCATAAAGCGACTGGTCATGGTGGAAGGGATAAAGTTGAGCAGAATTTAAAAAATAAATACAACATTCCTCGAATAGCAATCCAAATATTTATTAATTTGTGTACAACTTGTAACAAAAAAAAATCAAAACCTTGTAAAGGCGTCGTTATAAAACCAATATTATCGGCAGATTTTAATTCAAGAGGGCAAATTGACCTTATTGATTTCCAATCAACACCCGATGGAAATTTTAAATGGGTCATGAACTATCAGGATCACGCAACCAAATATTTATATCTTCGACCACTTACTTCAAAACGAGCCACCGAAGTTGCACACGAACTTTTAAAAATTTTTTTGGAACAAGGAGCACCTCAAATACTTCAGTCTGATAATGGGCGAGAATTTACAGCGAAAATAATTGAAGAATTGGCAGAATTGTGGCCTGAATGTAAAATAATACATGGGCGGCCACGGCACCCTCAGAGTCAGGGATCTGTAGAAAGATCAAATCAAGATGTTGAAAACATGTTACGAGCTTGGTAGGTAGGTCTTAGTTCTACAAACTTACCTGCCAAAATTATTCAAAAATTATCAAGTGAAGAAGATTTTGAAAATATTTTACAAGACAATTCAGAACATAATTTTGACTTATAATTTAGAACTAAATTTTTTGACTATATGCCTAGGCATTTGATAAAATGCCTGATTTGACTATATGCCTACGACATATATACTCATATGTATTTATGAGTCAGAAAGTATACCATAGCAATATAATATAGTTAAATAGTTTTATAAGTATAAAATATTTATTGGTATTTTCAATATAATTTTTTTAAATTTTAAATTGTGCCCTGACCAGTAAATCTAGTATCTTTCATACATTTCAGAGTGTGGGTTGATTTCTCTTAATACTTTTTAGCCTTTTTTACCGTTGAAATATACTAAATAATAGTACATTTTATTAACTCAATACAATAATTTTTTATTTCTTTAATCCAACAATTTTTATATGCACCTTTTTTGTTTAACTTATAAATATTTTTTAACTTATACAAATCGTATATGCTATACAAGTGTAATTATTTATTATTATCGTCTATTATTATTTAGTTTGGCCATGGTGATCAGATTGGGTGCTAGACAAGTTATTGTTTGGTCGGCAAAAAACGAATAGACAATCCTGGAGAAAACACTGAAGTACTACAACAACCATCACTATCACTTCAAAATGTTATACAAGAGCAAAATAATGAGCCAAAAGAATTACTAGAGGGTAATAATGCAAATGTTTGAAATTCATTGCATTTACCCTTAAGTTCCTACCTCCAGGATTGTGTATACAGCTCTTAGTCAAAACTCTGCTAAATATAAAATTAGAATAGTTTAAAATTAAATAATATCTTAATTGTAATTTTTATTGGTTTGGGTCATTTTTTTAATTATTTATGATAACTGCTTTATATAAATATTTTTTTTTTTAATGATTTGTATCAAAATAAAAAAAAAAAAAAAACTATAACACTTGTTTAACTTATTCATCATATATTTTTTGTATGTACATTCCTGTTACTTAAAATACTTAGACTAAACAACATCTTAATCAGTTAAAAATAAAATATCATAGGCAGAAAAGTTGTATTTGCCCACTCAATAATTACAAATAAAAATAAAAATAAACAAAAATAAATTTTGAATCACATAAATGTCGTAGTTTCGGAATCTTTTTCAGTCCAGTTTTATCCTAGAGTTGTCGAGGAACAATATTATTTGAATCGGATAAAAAAAGATTCCAAAACACGATAACGTAATACATAATGTTGTTATATAGTATCATATAGGTCGGCGTATCACAATAAAAAATATCTCTCAATCGAGAATGAGTATTATGTGGACAATGTGTGTGGTTTTCATAGAGATTTGTCTGTCGTTGAGTCACACCTCAACTAATAAATAATGATAAAAATAAAACAGAAAAACAGTACACATAATATGGTAGCAATAAATAATAATATCATATTCCGGTGTGTGTGTGTGTGATGTATATTGTTTGGCTGCGGTTATGATGTTGGCCCGCGCATTGGTCCACGACACAACTTTAAAGTTATGACTTATAAGTGGTTTTTATTAAAATTTTTTCAAAAAGAATTTATTTATAAAATGTAAATGTATAACGAGGCATAAATAATAATAATAATAATAATAATAATAATAATATTAATAATAGATTGATCTCACAGAGATTGTATATGGATTTTTTTTGTTTTTTTTTTTGTTTTTCTCTATATATAATATGTATATATATCGTAAAACTTGACGATAGGTACGTGTGGGCGGGTTGGCTGGCTGGCTGGCTGGTGGGACGGGAACGGGTAAACTGCAGACTGCATCTGAGCGTCGAGCATTGCGCGTTTGCACTTGATGACTCAGCCGAACTGTTGCAATTGCAGTTGTCGCGACGGGCCGCCGCCGTTGCACACGTACTTGACAGCTGCGCAACAGTTTTCGCGGATGTACGGGTTCGAACAGTGTCCCATGCCGTACCTAGTCAGGTAGTCGTAACAGGACACGGCTCCCAGCATGTCCATGGCTCCGGCTCGGTCCACGCACTCGTCAGCTGTGGGTAAAACGGCAAACGAAAAATTCGTGTTAACTATTTTCAGCTAATCATAGTACAAAGCAATTCTTAGGTGTATCACCAACTCTCGTTTACTCGAAAAGCTATCGACGTTTAGATTCCAAACTTTGGAACCATCCACTATTTTCGTCGTCTGGACAATTCTTTGAAAAATATATTCTGCTTTGGAATATAAAGTGAAAAATGTATGCTGTGCTTCAAAAAATATGCAACTTAAGTGGTAACGTTCAAAAATAGTGAAAATATGGTTTCTTAATGATTTCGAATTAGTGTATGTATACAGAATATTTTTCAAATTTCCATACATATTTTTCGAGGTAACAAGTGTTGTGTTACTATTAAAAGAATCACTTTGTATGTTTCCATTTATGTTTTTATAAGTAGATACCCTGACCGAGCCCTATTCATTATCTTTTAATATAAATTATTATTAATATATATTATGTATGATGAAGTAAAGTGAAGATAACGCAGGGCGATTTTACAATTTCATTCTCAGCTAGATCTTGAGGTTTATGTTATGATCTTGGGCTCATGTTAGTATTAAGTATTTTAATTTTTATTGCTCTGATCTGTACACCCCTAAAATGTTAAAAATATGTATTTTGTTCAAAGAAACATTTTAAATAATAATAAAAAAAAAGTAGGTATTTAGTACGATGTTAATAAGGTTTCTAAAAAAAAAATAATCTGCCTTCTAAAATTTCAATTCTCCACCTGTATTTGAATACCCAACCACCTCAACTCCCTGAGTCTGTACTACACTGATTATTTTATTTTCTCTCGAAAAAGAAAACAATTTCTCTATGTGCATAAATAGTATAGAAAACGTATTTTAAAGACTTGAAGTACCTTATTACTCCTTTGAATGACCCAAATAATTTTTTTCTAAACAAAATTGTAAGCAATGTACGATTGTCTCACGAAAACTGTGAAAGTTTACTATTAAGTTTTAAGTAGGCTCCTATGACTGACCTTTTATTATTTTTAGTAACTATTTATAAAAAATAAATTTATCTTTCAAATCTAAACAAAATTTAACTGGGCCGGTAATGGTTCTATAATCTTATGTAATCGCCCTGTTTGCTATACATTTTAGCGTTGTTATAATAATATAATATTAAATAATATATATTATATTATACTATTAGGTATATAATAAGTGCGTAGTATAATATTAAATTATACAACCTCGGTACCTATATTTAAAAATTATCTCCACTAAAATTCTAAAATTCTAGTACAAATCTTGCATTAGTCGATATCTNTATATATTATATTATACTATTAGGTATATAATAAGTGCGTAGTATAATATTAAATTATACACTAGCTGTTAATAATTAATGCGAGATTGTACGAGCTCCTGGTAATTGGTACACAGGTGGTTGATGGACGATGATCATAACTAATAAGTATATTAAGTAATAACAATAACATGGTCATCATCAAAGCGGTTAGCGTAAGTGCAAGAAGCGTGTGTTATTCGGTTACTTCACATGCAGTTGTTTATATTTAATTTCAGGCCCGGCTCAACGGGTAGGTGACATAGGCCCACGCCTAGGGTGGTGTTTTTCAGGAGTGGCATTTAAAAATATTTAACGTAGTATTTACATGTAAAAGGTGGTAAAACTTAAGTTTGCTTTGGTGTGTTAAATGTTTGAGACGGGCCTGTGTAATTTGCTCTGGTTATACGTTCGGTGTAATATTTCGTACAATTCGGAACGGTTAGCAACGGCATACGGTGACATTTTTTTCCCATTGCATATCATAATGTTAAATAGAAGCCTCGTTTCCTGGGTACCAATTTTTTTACGCCGTATAGTAAGTCATTAATTTTTTTCCTGTCATCGATAACCCGAGGGTTGGTCGACCGAGAAAACGATTGAGTCTATAATATAAGGACAAGAGAAAAATCAACGCCTCTAGGCTTGTGAAGTATTCATATTATAGTTGGCGAGTATTTATCATATTATGTTTACATATAGGCGTATAGCTTATCGGCATGGCGGCGGCGGTGGCTGCGGCGATAATGGTTGCCACCGTGCAAGCGGTTGTGTATGTATAGACGAGCAATGAGTAAAAATTTCGTTAAATGAGTAATGACAAAACGTGAACATTTGTTAGGTATACCTATACAACGGTCGGGCGTATAAATATAATATAGTCATTGCATAGAATCGTCCGTGAATCGCGCTACAAATACCTGTAAGGGGGTGGATCGATTCCGGTGTAAAGTGTACACCGAACTATAGGAATTATATGTCTCTCACATATCCGTCCGAACATGTTTTTGTAACGCGGAACCCGGACCACACCGCTGCATAATATATTATTGTAATAAATAATGATATACATTTATTATATACGTGTACTGCAGTGTACACATAGTGCAGTGTACGCGATGTTGCGTATGGGTATCCAATACGATGCACATGCGCATTATCACGACGTGCATACTTCGTGTACGTAGTTGTCGTCCGTGCAGCGTTCTGTTATAGTGTTATATTATCCTATATAATAATATATAGGTACTCGTGTGGGTACTCGTGTGTGATATATTATACACATTATAAAGATCACCGGCGTATAAAGACAGAGTGTGAAGTGGTTTCGTTCCAGCCAGTAAATTATTGTTATTATTATATTATATTTTGTCGTTGTTGTATACGCAATGATGATAAATAATAATAATAATAATAAAATGATGATGATAATGATGTGATCGAATGTGATATGTAGGCGGGTTCCCTCCCCCCGTATTTTGCAGCGCTTTCACGCAAAATCGATCACTTACCGTACGGGCCACCGCCGTTACTCTTGGACGACGACGACTGTGGTCGATCGACGGTTTTCAAATCTTGCGGCCCCGAATGGTAGTATTTGTTTTTAAGCAACGCGGCCAAAGGGTCTTCGTTTTTGTCGCCGCTACCTAGTGGCTGTTGTTTAATTTGGTGTTGTTGTTGTAGTTGTAGTTGTTGTTGTAGTAGTAATTGTTTGTATGTCGGTAATCGCGCGTCATGAGCGTCACCGTTAGTCGTGGTTATCTGTGGAGGTTGTTGGTAAGGGTTCGGAGCGTACAAGTTTTGCAGTCGGGGGTGCAGGTTGTTACTAGTACTGGTGGTGGTGGCAATAGTCTTTTGGGTTGTCCTCCAATAGTCATTCCACACTGACCTAAAACGCCGTCAAATTTCGTAATATTAAATTTTATATGTTTAGCGATCCCTATATATATTTGGTTCATTTCAGCTGTAAAATGAGGGAAGAGGAGTGACACAAAGGCTTGTACAACAATTATAATATAGTATATTAGTTCTGAAATTCATTTTGGATTTTATAATCTTAATATACTTCCTATTATATACATGTAACAGAGATAGGCAACTTAGATTTACTAGAGTGTCATTTTTTTATTTTAAAATCCAGTGAACCGGAGTATAGGAAGCTAAAAAAAATGTTTACTGACATTTTTTAAGCATTATAAATCACGTTAATAATGAAATAAAAACTACTTATTATAATATTTATGAATACATATTATTATACACCAAGTAATTTGTTTGTAAGTTGTAGACTTTTAGTTCAATAACAGAAACGAATTAATATAGCTACGTTATACGAACAGTGTAGTTTTAAATATAGTTAAACATTTCTCCGACTTTTTAATTTTTAATGTTAATTTTTGAACTTTTGTGTTAGTATTATATTTGAAAATGTAGCACTGACCAAATAAAAATGGTACGCATGCCGCCAGTTGCCCATCTCTGACATCTGACCTAAGACCATCTGACTATGTCCCATTCAGATTACCAATATAAAATAATATAAAATTGTATAAAAGTGAGTATATCTACTCGTTAGGACTACAATAAAAATATATAGATGTGATGATATTATTGGACGAGCCACTGTTGTGTATTTCCATTTCTATGTGTTAGCTCTATGGAAATATACTGTGGCACATCCTGTATATATTATATAATATGTGATAATATCGTGTATTTACAGTACACATACAAATAGGATACACAAAACATCCACAAACAACAAAACATGTACCAAACGCGCGTTTTCGACTGATTCTCAGTGGTGGTGGTATGAAAAGATTCTGATTTAACAGATAAATTTAATAATAATATAGGTTTATCCGAAAAACTACTAAGATTAGCTCGAAACCCCAATTTTGTAATTTCGCGTTCAATTAATATTTCAAGCTTATACATTTTGAATTAACCATCGTTTAAAATTATATTAATCGAAAAAACGTTGAAAAACCTTCGGATATAGTGAGTCCCGCCATCGTTCTGCTCAGAATCCAAAATCCACACATGTCACAATTGTACTTGATGATTTTTTACCATGGTATACTAATATACGCCGGATCGCTGTATTGTCGAAAACGCGCGTTTAATATGTAAACACCGCATATTATTAATTTACAAACATATTATACATATACATATATATCACAAGCGTGTGCGTAGTGCGTACCTCCCTGGGTACGTTGCGACGACAGTTAATATTATTATCGGTTAATAACTTAAAGTGATCGTCCCTTATGTGTTGCACCCGTACAGATAGAATCGTACGTTAGAATCAGTTAAATACTTTTGTAGTTTGTGATTTCAACAAACTTAATCTGTATTAGCTGATATTTTCTTTTATTAGCTGATAATACTGTTATAATAATTATTTTTAAATCAGCCCAAAATCAAAAAAAAAAAAAAAATATTAAGCTTTTCTTAAGAACCCGAGACAGCCAATCAAACGTAATGCACAATAAATATTTTATCGATTTAAACATCCAAGTACGAGACGTCCTGTATCTACTGTACAATGTACATACGTCGACATAATAAGTATTGTTACTGGGTATACTACAATAATAATATTATTGTCGTCGCTGCGATACCGGTACCAGTATATAAACACGCGCGAATAACGAACGATCTAAACCAGGGATGGGCTTACTTGCCCTCAGTTAAATAAGTTTGCCCACCCCTGATCTACCATCAGTATATGGTATATACCGCACACGCTGCCACTGATGGTCGTCGATCGTGCGTCTTTATAGGGTGATTTAAGGCGAACTATAATACACCACGACTGTCGCCGGAATCGTCGAACCGTGCGATTCTGTTTTTGATTTTACCTCTGTGTCGTGACGTTAGGAGTCAAATACTGCGGCCAGTCTTGAGTTGCTTCCCCTTCGTCTCCCGACCGGCGCAGGTAGGCCGGTGTGTTTTGCGAAAAGTCCGGTATTATGTTCTCGTGTTCCGTTATGCACTTGCCGTTGGTGCAATGCTACAAGTAACAACATATAGTGGCGACGATGAGTATAATTTGTTGATTGTAAGTTATCGAATGAAGTTTTGATTCGTCGACCAAAACTAATAACAGTGGCAATACTGTATGCGTTAAATACAATCGATCTGCACGCATATACACACTCCCCCTCCCCTCCTGCTCATACAATTGCCGACATGAATAGGTATAAACAATATATTATTATTCTGCAGACGCTGTCATTACAGTACTCACTTGTCCATCTCCGCAAGGTGATCCTTCGGCCGCGGGCCTGTACGCTACGCAGTAACCCGAACCGGCGTCAAAGCAGAACAGCTGAGCGCACACCCGATCATCTTTCTGTGGGGCGAGCAAATAAACGTTATTATTTTACTGTTTCAATACTATGCGCACGATGTTAACTCACGAAACAGGCGCTGGTCCCTCGGTCTTTTCTGCACTGGGCGTCCAGAGTCAACAGTTTTCCTGGCAACATCCTGGGTAGTGACTCGTCTTCGTGCGGCGAATTGAACAGACACGTAGCCGTGTCACCGCTACAGAAAATTAAATCATTTTTTTATTATTATAAAAATGTTTAGTTGACAGTCAGTATATATTATGTTCATTCGGTTCATGATCAGTATAGCCATAGTCAATGGGCACCTGTTTTCATCATCACTTCTAAATGACCCAGGGACATTTCCCGGAGCGTTAAAGTCGCTTTACCGCATATTGTTGTCTTTGGACTAACGTCCTATCGTATTATTATTTACTCGCACCTATGTAGTCCCATACACTATTAATTTATCGATTAGAATGTTGTACAAACTTTAAGAAATGATGGAAAGAAGACACGCTGCACGGCGACCACCGGAATCCTTTTTCCGTATGCCGCAGATCGCTCATTATGTATCCGTCTTCCCAGCGACATTTCTCCGCTCCCGGTCCACCCAGGTAGGTCGGCGGCGGCGAACCGTCGTGCACCGCACCCAACCTAAAACGAGACGAGCACACACACACGGTTATTAGTGGGGATCAAGACTTGTGCTCCACTGCTTAAAATGAAATCAGCAGCGATGTACAAGTCTTGACGCTCATCATCACTTGTAGATAGTGGCAATTGGACTTACAGGTGACCGACTTCGTGCGCCGCTACGATGATGCCCGAAAAGCCACCGGTGTCCTCGATGATCGCAACGCTATTGACTTTCTCGAGACGTTTGTTCACTACGCAAGCACCTCCCACGTACGCAAATCCTATACACATGAACACGGGATTAGCACATGCGATTGTTTTTTGAACAAAAAAATCGTTTCGTTTTTTTCCAATCAATACCCAAACGCAAATTAAGTGAAAAAAAAATATTATTACTAATATTAATAAGCAATTTCCACCCGCGGACAGGCAGTCCGCCGAAGTGCAACTATGTAACTGTTAATCCAACACACTCGAGTAGTCCAGTGGAAAGCGTGTAATGTTGTTAAATCGTTTTACCTTGTCTATAATATTAGGTACACCGGTCCAGAGCAGCTGATTAAGTTCAATATATTTATTTATATGCTGTGTATATATATTATATATAAACATGCATGCACTTATAAAATATTTGTTAGAAAAACGTACACAAATATATGTGTTTATGTTTGATTTTTATTATTCAGGAAACAAATCACCGTAAAGAAAGCTTTGCGTATACCATTATAGCTAACCAGTTTCGCACCAGTATTACCACATGTCACGCGCGTTTGCGTGCCCAGTGTATACGAGTGCTAGCGCGCGCTGTGTGTTTGTGTGTGTGTCATGAAATGCTCAAAAAACATTTTCTGCCGATAGTGTTTAAAAATAGACACGCGACAATTTGTATTATATATATATAAAACAGTGTAAAAGAAGATATAATGGTGACCTTAAATACATAATTTCCAGGTAATTTCAGAATTTCAGTGCCAGACAGTGAATGAATCAAGATTGTTGTAACCTTTGTTTGCCAAAAACAAATAAAATAATACAATGTTTAATTGTAAGTGCGATTTGTTTGATAGGGAAACGAAATGATATCTGGGGGCCGAACAAATTACAAGTGCACTGATATGTTTTGGATTTTCAGGGACATACCTGCGGTACCCCTGTTGCATGTATCGTGTGGGTATTGTCGCCTGCACATGTCTAATCTGAAAATGAAACAGTATATATGCTATTTAGTCCGTACTGCATTGTCATTTACGTCGCTCTGGGCTCAATAGCGCCTCTCTCGGTCCGCCAATGCGTGGTGGTTTAAACATATTTCGTATACATAATTATTATAACACATGACATTTTTATATTTTAATTATATAATATATAGTTATACATAGACTATAGTAAAGAGTATTAATTATCTACCATCTACACACATTAGAAGCTCCGTCGATTACCACAATAATAACATACTCTATATCCCCATCGTACCCAGAAGGATGTTTAGTATAAGTATTATAATATGTAATGCCGTTCGTAGGCCGACAATTTGCAATATGTACAAATTCTCCCGTATCACACTACCAAGCACTTTTCCCCTCTTATTTTTATTTACCACATACCAGCCGTTCCTTTTGTGCAACGGCCTCCTTTTCGACGTCTGCACATGTCGTACCTAAATGCATTGGTTGTCGGTTATAATGTCCCATATTATATAATATTATCACACAAATATCATTTTGCACGGTCTCGGAGTAAAAGTAATAAATCTATTTTTACTCGAGATATTAATGAAATATAAAAACTGATTTGTATTTAATGTTTTTTTTTTATGAATTTATAGACTATTCAGAACCAGCTTACTTGGTGACGGCTACGGCGATATCGTATACTGGCAGTCTTCGTTCTTTGAACAGGTATTTACCCATGTCTGTGAGTGCAGCCGCTGAATCAATGGCGTCTCTACCGACCCTATTCCTCTCCAAATATGGCGTAGCGTCTCTCGCCTAAAAATCGTATATTATGATGAATAGATTTTTTTATTATTTTTTTTTTTGCAGCAAACATGGCATCGGACAAGAAAAACGTTTACGAGTTCATGGTCAAAGCCAATAGACCGTTCAGTAGCAACGATGTGTTTTCAAATCTACTGCGACAGGGTGTCGGAAAGTCGGCTGTGGAAAAAGCTCTTGATCAGTTGGTAAAGGATAACAAGATATTCATGAAGTTGAATGGTAAGCAGAAGATTTACTGTGTAGTGCAACCGGACTCTACGGTGGAAGACCAAAACGAAATCCAGTCGATGGACGAGGAGTTGGTAAAAATTAACGACGCACTGCGTGAAGTCGAGCGCAAGTACAAAGAATCCGAAGTTGAAGTGAAAACGCTCCAGGGCACCTACAGCACCGAGGAAGCAAAACGCAGGGTGGCCGAATTGGAAAAAACCGTATCCGAACTAAAATCGCAATTGGATCAAATGTCGAAAACAAGTGGTAACGCAGTGTCGTTAAAGGATAGAGGACAAGTGAAGAAGGAATACGAAACGGTCACCAAAGAGTATAGGAAACGCAAACGCATGTGTACGGACATATTGGACTCGATCTTGGAGAACTGTCCGAAACCAAAGAAAGCCCTTTTCGAAGAAATCGGAATAGAAACCGACGAGAGCGTCGGCATGCCGGCACTGTGATCTTGACCGTCGTGTTAAAAATATTATTATTTTTTTTTATGTTTATTATACTTAAACTTTGTTTACCCGCGAAATTATGATGCCAGCAATGCTTATACGAATTTTCGGGCCCTTGAGTAGTCTGTACCTGAGGTCCACACCGTTCCAAAAGGACACAAAGTAACGTTTAATCTGTACGTTGTCTCCCCCGTGCAACCTGTATGCAAATCGCAAAATGTTTTTCTATTAAAATGTATGTCATAATTATTATTATTATTATTATTTTAATAAACTATAATATGTTAGTATATCGCTCAGTGTTAAATCGTATACAAATATTTATTATTATTATTATTATTATTATCATTATGGTAAGTCACGACGGTGCGTACCTGTAACCGTCATAGTCCACGATGACCATTATTTCCGGGTAAATGGCGTATGGCGCTTCCCGCTTGGCGATCGATCTTTTCCGCCTGCTCCTCGGCAACGCGTCTGGTTCCATTAGCGCTGTAAACGAAAGGATTTTGGAGTTGCCGCCAATAAAATACCATTATAAGTAATAATTGTTGAGGTACACCTGCACCGTGGTCCCGGGCGTCATCTTACCGTAATCTCCGGCAGTCCGGTCAGATTCGGGATTCCTCCTGTACACCACGTGTTTGTGATGCGCCACGAACTTTTGTGACTTCAGAGGGAAACCCTGGTTGGACACCTCGTTGTCGCCGTCTCGGAGCTCTTGGTCCATGAACATCTCGTCGTCGGGGGTCGAAGACTGTACGTGTCTTCTGTACACGGCTGGGACGGGCTTCACCACCAAATGATCTCCAATGGTACCCTCCTGAAAACCAACCGGATGTGAGATTAATACGAAAATCCCGATTTCTTTTTTTTCCAAAAACAGTCTACTATCGATCGATTGAACCCGAGTTACCGCAATCTGCAGTTAATTATTTATACATCGCAGTATATTAGTTTCGGCATCGGATACGATCATGTCCGCGGAAACCGGTTAGACAAATAGACTATAATTTAATATTATTTTCACGCGACAAACCGTAATATATTATGTTATTTAGATTCACGTATGTACGACGATACAATATATTGATTTATGCCGGAAACATGTATCGGGTGATATTTTTTTCCCGCCCACCTCGACAGCCTTACGATTCTGAGAAAGTCGCTTTGAGTCCCGAATCTCCAAAAAATAATAATTTAGTGCAATGGCATATTAGCGCGGACATCATACCCCTGCGACGACATCTTCTGCAGCTTTGAGCGTGTAAAAGAATACCTCTGTATACCTATACGACTAACCATAGACATCTAACGAATTTTACGTTTACCGAGCGGCCAGCTGTTCGATGAATGTGTATGCGTGGAACGTATATCATTATTATACTATCGACGAGTGCGGTGATATCAAATAGATTTACAGATATGAATATCATGTCTTAATATATAAAAAAAACCGGTGTTTATTTGACTCGGCGATTGTATAATTATTATAATGTGAAAGACTGTTCTGATTAACGTTGTACATCTCGACAAAATATTATATCGCAATAGAGAAATATTGAATTATAATTTCATAGGTTAAATCATATTAATAATAATGCAAATCTCGTGCGCGTCTCGTGTAAGTAAATAAAAATGTAAACGAATTAATAGTTAATATTATATTATGAATTCAAAATCAATACGACATGTTGTGTATAATAATGTACCTAAACGCGGTTTAAAAATTATAAAACCTCTTACATAGGTGTACACTGTACATGTTTTAATCAGACAATTTTATAGCGAATTAAAACATATCGATTCCCCATATTAACGAAGTTTCCTAGCTATAGTGGTTTTTGGCAAACTATATTATAATACATATTCAAAGTTCATTAAAATTAATATAAATTCGTATACACATTAAAAAAGACCATTCGATTTTATTGCGTTTATGTTAGCTCTAACGAAATAATGTTATAAGTAAATAACTTATTTAATATCTACTAAGCGTCTTAAAGTACGAGAATAATAAATTAATAATAATGACGTGTCTTATAAAGTCTGGCATTGCGATGCAATTAAACAACAATAGGTCGAGTTCTTAGAAAAATAAAATAATGATTTCTTTTCTGAATTAAATTTCATTGAACACAATATAACTTAAAGCGTGTGCGTGTATAGATTATTGTAGTCTCTATTAGGTTTTGAACGATGTCAATGGCACAAGGTAAAGTAAATAATAATACCTAATAATAATACGATGATGATTTAGGTTTCAATGCAGAATAGACACGTCCCGCAATATTCCACAGTTCAAAAGACAAACAAAAAACAAAAATGCATAACTAAACAACAAAAGTAAACTCGTTATTATATTCACCGTGTAAACGTTTTGTCGGTATCTACTTCTCAATACGGCTATAATGTAATTTTATTCAATGGCGGCTGGTCGTTACGATTTACATTGCAAGCTCGTCGTAAAATAATAACGGCAATAAAAATATAGAATATACTATACGTGCGACCAGTGGTAAGCGACGAAGACAGCCCGGCGGCAGAAGTGTTAAGAATAAAAAATAAAAGTTAATAAAATCGGGATAGACGACGGGTAGGGCTAGTATAATATTGTATGCTATTTTAATTGTTGGTAATGGAAGGAACGTAAAATAAACATTATTACACTCGCCGTGCCTATGGTTAGAAAAAACAAACACGGACGGACGCTAAACGTTCGTTCAAATGTTGAAACAAAAATTAATTTTTGAGTCGGAGCCAAGCAACGAAAAAAATGAATTCGAAACACAAAGACCATGGTCTTAGCGCTCTTAGCGTTGTGCACATAAGCACCTATAGCGTCCACAACACGTACAATAATAATAATAACTATGCATTATAGTAACTAGTGTCTAGTACTAACCTACCTACTTAACAAAAAATATAACTCTTCTACTAGTCTTTGTGATGGTATTTTTCAAGCTTTACACTTTAAATTATTCATATTGAAGTTAAATTTGTTTATGAATGTGTTTTAAGTTTTTATTGATGAGTATTTGACATACGAGTATAAAGATAAGTAGAGTAATTCATCTAATTCTAATTCTTAAGATCTAATTCTTAGATATTCACCACATATACACAGGGTTATAAAAATCATCATACTTAATAACCGTGATGATGAATGAAACAATTTGTTCATTAATAGAGAGTGTACCATGAATATTATGAATAATTAATAATATTATAAAAATATTTACTTGGAAACACTAAATAATGAACATCAGAGTAACGAGCGTTAGCCGTTAAGTATATAAATAACGATCGCCTATTGGCTACCATCATCGTATGACACAATACTACACATAATATTATATTATTATACAACGATATTGCCGACATTTCGCGTATATATTATTAGCAAATATATTATACGCGTTAGTGACGTACGCGTGGTTATAGGTATGTCCTCTAATAAGCCTTGCGCTGTATTTGGAATACAATAAAACATACGGATTATAATATGTTTAATGTAATAAGTCTATAAAGTATAAATTATAATATACATAATAAGTATTTTATGGTATAATAAGCGCCCGTGTCAGATATATGTCAGATATATATATATGGCCGGCGGCAGACCGTCTTATGGTAGTGAACACCGAAACACCCCTAATCCGAGTTTCGAGACCGAATATAATAATTAACGTTTATATTATTGTGATAATAATAAATGAAAGTTAATGTATAAAGCTGATGGCCCTTGTCGCCGAAAGTTCAGTAAAAAAAAAAAAAAAATGAAATGTCATCGTATATACGAATATACAATATAAAATATCTGATATGACCCCAAAAATGAAATTAATTTAGTTCCGTGTCTTCCGAAAAATTTTACGAAAAATGCACAAAAAACTCTTAGAACTTTTACTTTGTCGTATTATTAAGATAATATCGCCGAGGTGAGTAAACAATCGAAATATTATTTTTCTTATTGAAAAAACATTAATTGTGTATGAATAACCATCATATAATGTTGCGTAATATGTAAATTGTGGTTGTGGTTTGTTCAGCGCAGCATTAATAGTTAGGTATCCTTTACCAATATCACACTTTTCAAATCAGAGCTGCTGCCGAAAACTACTGAGATGAAGTTATATAGAAACCCGTAGTCTGCTATGGATCTGAAACTTGGACATTGTCAGAAGTAGATGCCAACAGGTTAAAGATATTCGAAAGAAAAATACTAAAAAAATTAAGCAAATTTTAGAAAACAAAAATATAGTGAAACACATAAAATCATCCAGGATTAGGTGGTTGGTCATGTAGCAACTAAAAATAATTGATGGAACTAAAAGACAAGGACGCGTCCAAGGAGTAGATGGATAGAAGAAGTAAAGAAATAACAGATGGATATATATAGAAATGAGAAATGTTACGTGATTAGTGGAGAACAGTTGTTTTGGAAGCTAAAGGCAACTATATGAACCGAAGAGCTTATGAGTAGAAGGAGTAGTCATTGAGGACGTAGAGATTCTTCAAATTGTCCAAGACATTTTTTCAAACAATACAGTAGGCATACATATACCATTTATTCACCAAATATATATTTTTTTTGCTTGAATATATCAGATGTATATTCGTTATTTTACGAAAAAACGCTCAATAATTAACAATAATACAAGCCATACAAGGTATCATTTGGGTTTTTTTCTTGGGACACATCGTTGACTGTGGTCATGATATTATTGTTTGTTTTGCCTGTTACCTATACATTTTAATACCTACCGTTGTCGTTCATCTACGGCACTCGGCCGATAAATAAACAGGCATCTCAGACGTTTAAGGACGAAAAAATAACCTAAATAAATATATTATCATCGTTTTATAAATTATGTGTCCCGCGGATATTCGGGTCCGGTAATTTTGACTAGTTTTTTTGAAACGACTCAATGGCGCATCGTTGATATTGACCGCGCGTGCTGTCTGTAGGTGTCTATACAATTTAATGGGTTCGCTGCAGGTGTTAACGAATTAAAACGCTTATGTTTTGTAAACAAATTGTTATCTGATGAAAATTACAAGATATTTAAATGTATTATTGCCTAATAGGCACAACCATAACTGGTTATAAAATCGAAATATTTATTAAATTCTTTAATTAAAACTAATTATAATATTTTTTATGCGGTGGTATAAATAAGCGGTTTTACAAATATTGACAATATAACACCTACAGTATAAGTTATCATGTAATCATCATTCATTATTATTATTTAAATTATTGTATTTACCTATCGAAAACTTAATTCTTGGTTAAGAAATATATTATTTATACACCACATGCAATAAGTAACAATCATGTATAGGTAAGTAAATTAATATTAATCAAAAGTTTTTTTCTCAGAAAAAAATATTTAAAAAAAACGTCACGATGATAATATGTTTTCATTGCAATAATGGTTTTCACAAGAAAAGAAAGAGTAGGTTGTTTTGTTAAGTTTCCGTGGGAATATAAAACAAAATTAAAATTAAATATTTTAAAATGTTATCCATAGTATATATTTCAAGGTAAACATTTTTTCTGGACATACATTAATACAGTTTTTTATTGTTGGTGAATTGGTGGATGCATGAAAATGAAAAGTATACTTAAACAATATTTAAAATTTAATAAAATCATGATAGGTTATATAGCTGGTAACAAAAATTTTTCGCGAAGACTATGTAGAGAAATAAAAAAATCAATTAAAATTATGACTGTGTAATGCGCATTATAACTGAAATAATAAATTAGACACCTAGATGCATATATACCTTTATATGTACAATTTAAAAGTATAGACTGTTTAAAAATGTATGAACCATTATGCAGTGTGGGGGAAATTTTTTTAAATATGATGATTTTCGTCATTTTAAATCGAACAGTCTTATATTTTATGCTTAATATTATAATATAGATACTTGTGGTCCGTTTTACTTTAAAAAAATCCATGTTGGTATTTTAATATATTGGTATATATAAACATTTTTAACATGTTTTACAGTTATGGTCGTATATGTGGAAGATATCGCATTAAACGATTTTGGCTTGTATATATATAAATACATAATGATATATTTATAGTTACGTAAGCATGCGTATTCCTCCGCTCTACAAACGTTTAAAAAAATTAAGTAGATATAATATTATATACTATATACACGTACGTTATATCCGCCATTATTATAAATATTCTTACAGATTACCGAATAAAAGTTTGAATTTTACATTTATAGAAAACGATATCCCGTTGACTTAGAAAACGCACATGTCCGTATTCGCCTTCGATTTTTCGATTAATTTCTCTATTGTCTTATACGATATAATATATTATAAATCCAAAATGGTAATCGGTACTATTACGTCAGTCTATGCGTTAAAGTCTCCCGCTCGCTTTATTGCTGTTCGCTCGTATAGATTATAATAATAAAATATCATAGTATTATATTATATTAAAGATCATATTACTGTATTTTAGCAGTCTTATTATATTTTATATATACCATTATTTTATCACATTTGTGTTTACAATATAGATGCATATAAGTAAAACAATAGGTTTGAATTCAAAACGATTTTCTGCATACATAATATACCTGTACATAAATAATATTATTATTATGCATAGGTAGTAGGTACGTATATATATGATACAATGCCATTTGAATATCACCGTGTTTACAAGACAGAATCTGTTTTCATTTTCATTTTTCTGAGCTCTCTGATCGACATAGATGAATTATCGTTCGTACATTCGTACCTATTATATATAATATTATACCTTTACAATCTACATATCTACACGCCGGCGAGACATGGTCGACGTTCCACATAATTTATGCTCAACAACTAATTGAATTTCTAGGAAAACCTAAATACAGCGTTCAGACTCATATATAGGTATGTATAATATATATAATAATATTATATAACACAACATATATATAGTATAATATATGTATAGGTAACCTCGTGTCACATAGGTTTACGCATAGGATGGGCGGCAGAAAAGTAGACTCGGCATCTGAATATTATTGTTTTCTGCTCAAACCTTGAGCCGGCGCGCGGCGCATTATTATAAATAACATAATGAATTGAAAAATTGTCGACGTGCATATACTTGAACGTCACCAAAATTGTATATTGTATGCGTACGCAAGTGCGTTACTTACAGCATTATTATGATATTCGTGATATTATGGCTAAGCTAGGTAGGTACAACCTATATATAAGTACCTACCTATGTACAATATAATATTTAATATTATTGATTGTTTTTTGGATTTTTAGCCGATTTACATCCGTCTGCACTTCTGCAGTCAGATCTGCAAACGACTACGACATTAGACAAAATATTGTGTAACCTCGTCTAGGGGTCAGACACCACGCGTAACCGGAACGAATTCAATGTCCAATCACTCCAATCCACCGTACGATGCGAACAATCCGTAATCTTATTATATTATGTACCGTCGCGCCCGTGTTCGATATTAGCGGGCGATTTACAACAATACGACGCGACGATTCGCTGTCGTGGGATCCGTCGCAAGTCCGAATCAGTCCCGGCGGCGATTTCACAGGTCTGACCATCTATGAAATATGATGATGTGTATATACCATCGTATTATAATTAAAAGTATATTATTGTCTCGTTGTTCCATTTATATTTTTTTTATTGTTATGATCGAAATCGGGTTGCGCAACAGCTCCCGAAGAATAATAATCTTTATAATGATAATAATAAATTTTTTTCAATTACATATATTGTTCAATGACCCAATATCGTAACTACTGTAGTGCGCGCTGTTCATGCCAATTCATTAATCAAAGAAGAAGACTGAGTGAGAAAAACCGTTCCACGTTTATATATATTATACCTACGTCCAAATGACCTTATTTCGTCGCCTCGTTGTGCATAATATAATATATATAAATATTATACAATATTTAAGGCACGCGTTATTTACACATTATTTTCTATTAACTTATAATCATATAAAATGCATTAAATGAAGACGCATTGACCGTCGTGTTTATCAACGTAGCGGTTTAGCAGCCCTTCGGTTTGCATTGTAGATTGCAACGATGACGACGACCCGTCTCGTGGCCTAGCTGTCGGTTCATTATATTGTGTGTAATATTACTATCGACTGACGACTATTATAATAACGTCGTTATATTATTGTATTATATGTTTTGACTCGACCTTGTCATTCGGTGAGATGTGACAGACTTACCATAAGAATCGTTCCGTCCTCGTGGTCGTTGTGTAAGATGACCGCCGCCCGTTTACCGACGTCCTGATACGGCACTCCGATGTGTTCCTGCAAAAGACAAACGAAAAAACTCGTTAAAAAACAACAAATAAACTATAGGTAGACGTATAATAAGGGAATATATGATAATTATATAATACATATAATGTACAACAACGTAACAACATAAAAGAATCAAATTATCGTAGACAGATACGCTGTGTATTTTGTTCTCTCCTCTTAACAACGATACCTTTGTATTATATATGGTTAGGAATATAGGGCCGTAATATAGGTATAGGCCGTAAATCGGAATAAGTAAAATATGTAATAGCATTGATTATTATAGGTATAGGGTATATAACCACCATCATTATACAGTGATAGACGATCGGTTGGTCAAAGTCAACTCCACCTCAATATCGTAAATACAATTTATCGCCAGGAGTTGGCGATAAGATGACCATATCAAACCCACTATTGGATTTTAAAATTATTGCTCATATCATAATCATTACCATAAGAAGCTTATAATATCAAAATAATATTAAGCATTGATATTTAATTAAAAATATTACATTTTATTTTTATTGAATTAGGATGTTTTCTATTGAGTATTTAACGAAATTTTCATACTTATTGTTAAGCTTCATTTTGAGATTTATGATTAAAAATACCAATCTCTATTATATAATTAGCAATATTAAATCTATTATTACTATATAATTTATTTAATTATAAGTTATGCTGTACTTTTAAATTAGTTTACATTTATGAGGCATGTTCAGAGTTGTGTAAAGATCGTTTTTCGGGTTTAGAAATACATAATAGGTAATGAGAAAAATATATAATTGATTTTATCAATGAGAATTATTTAATTTTTTCGTCTTTGTTATTTGAAAATACATAATACAGATATATGGCAGGGAGTGGTGCAAGGTGTGTGCGTCAGCTACGTCATCATAGGTCTCCTAAAAATAAAGCTCTGGCGATACTACTGAGGCTGTGACGACTGCGTAGGAAGTGTCAAACAATCATTACGATGGTTCTGATTTTATAGATACAATATGATATTGTGTTATAATAATATAAGTGTACACTTGTGGTATTAATGACATAATAATTGACCGTGGCGAAGTGTTTTTTTGTTCAGAAATACTGCAATTTCTCGATGCAAGTTTTGTTGATTTTGGTATGAGAGTCAATCCATTTCACACTGAATAGTCACATTGAATTACGTAATGTATAAAATATGATCATCATTTAACGGGAATTATAAATTATAACGCATAATTCTATGAACCTATAATTTTTATAGATCATCCGGATCATTGTCCATCGTCCACAAGAGGTTGGTAGTTATGAAATGAGTTATGTGATTATTTACGAATTTTTCAAACACATGGCAAATCTCAAAATATATATTTAAGCTCTCAACCTATTATACGACTGATCTATTTTATATCGTTAATTGTTAATTCCGTAATATGGTTTATAAATATTGAATATGTTATAATATAAGCCACGGTGTCTGAAACACGGGTGTAATGTATATATATAAGCAAACATTACGACTTCAGGTTAGGTGTTGAGCGAGTTCTCTCTCCCTAATTTGTTCTCTGATCAATCATAATGATTTAATAGGTATTTGATGTGAGTAGGTAATAAATACATAAATGAAAACAACTCTAGCGGTTTTGGGCCCCGAGCAGTTACATAATAATGTTATATATAATAATATATATAGAGGTACACCTTGTATTTTGTACGTTTCCATTATATTATTATCTATACACCCGAACTCTTTGTACGGGATACGTATTTATATATTATATTATTATAAATTATTAACGACTGCAAATTGCAATATTATAGCATTATGTAACACACGCGCGTGTGCGCAGAATGAGCGTGTTGGTTTTATTCGGTAATTGTATTATTACATTTCACGGGAGACGGGAGAAATCACGTGTATAGTATAGGTATATATTATATCGTGTACATTTAAAATTCGTATTGGCCGTTAAAAAGACCACCACACCTCTTCTCGAGTGATAAACTCTTGTGTGGGTGTTTATTCTTACGTAACGCGCTTGTGTGTGAAATGCGCATAAGTGTGCAGGAACTATAATGATAAAACGCGTCCATACGCGTATATACACAATAACAATTTTTTATTTGAATATTCATATCGGTTATTGTATAGGATAGATATTTATGTATTATTTTGTTCAACATACGTGGATGAATGAGCGTGGATTAATAGTGTTTAAAAAATCGAACAGTTTCACTGATTCATAACGTGTCACACAATGTGTATATTATATTACTTATACATGAATTTACATTATAATCTATAGCTATACTTATATATTTTGTGTTCGCTTAAACAAGTCTTGGTGGACCCATTAATAGGTAGGCACCTCCTATGCGGAAATCGTAGCAAACGCGACCACTGCGGGACGTTGACAATAAGATAGATCTCATCTAGTCTTAGGTTTTACAGTTTTCAGTATACCCATGACTTATGTAGGTACCTACTATAAGAATTAATATGCATGTCTTATAGGATACGAAATGTAGATACATTATGTTATTTGTACAGATAAGGATTTCGGTAACAATAAGTTGGCAATTAAAGATTCAAAATGAAATATTGATACCGAACATTTATAATTCAAAGTTCTTAGAAAAATATTTTACATACTTATTATCAGTTATAAATGTAACAAAATTGTGTAAACACATAGAAAAATCTCCACTGGCTCAATTTTAAGAACTGAAAATTCAAGAAAAAAATGTTAAAATTTCTCCAAAAGTCTATGGTTAGAAAAATCTTATACGGTGTTTAGCACACAGATAGCATATATTTTGTCTTGCATAATATATTAAAGTTACGTCGAATGCATTAGGGGTTGTTGTCGATCGCATGATAATGTATAATACATATATAAATGTATAATATATTCCACTTATAGTAGTAGCAACGAATCATTTATATCGTTTCATAATACCCGTTAAGCTGGTCTGCAGCTGGCGAAAGAAAAAAAATATCCAATAACCTATGCAAAAATTAGCTTATTGACGAGCACACTTATATGCAAGTAATACTTGTCATCGTTATAATGTGAGACTTGAATATTTGAAACGTAGCCAAAATCATTGCGTCCCGACGGTGGAGAGTATAATTTAATTTATTAAAATAATATCATCATCCTTTTTTTTCATTTTAACTTGTCGGTAAAATGCCTTACATAGTTAACACAAGAAAACGTATACACTTTCACCACCGGATTAACCATATTTTGTTTTTTCTGCTACGCGAGGATCGCATAGTGTTCTTATAAAATAAAAAAATCATTTTATACATCTACCTACCTCACCAAAATAAATTATTATTGTATTCTTCAGAATATTCATTATCCCACTCCCCGGTAAATTTTTGAGTTTTTGATGAAATGTTTTTATACAATTTTAAGTATTTACTTTATTTTCTAATACATGACTATTATTTTAATTTTATATGATCGTTTTGAAATTTAAAATTCAAAATTTATAAATACCAGATAAAATATAAAATAATTTGTTTTTAAATTATTATAATATTACATATATTGCTTTTATTCATCGTTCTAAAAATGTGCAGAAAAAACACAAAAGTTGACCAGAACAATGCTAATAGTGAGTTCATAGCTATAAAATAATCACCTGTGTAATTTTATTTTAGTTCATAATGATGAATGGCCGCGAAGAGTAAAGGTATTGTCAATGTTTTATTCATTTAGTATTTAGCCATGTGTGTGTCTTAATTCATTATCTGACGTTTCCATTATTATTATTATTATTGAATAGTAACCTCGAGGAGTGACATCACAATACATAGATAACACTACACATAAACAAACATTAATTGTATATACTAACACACACGCACAAAGCCGTCACCCACACTTCGTTTTAGTTAGGGTAAAAACAGGAAACCCCGACGATAAGCGTTATCGTTTACGGGCAAAAAGTTTGAAACCGGTTCGAACTTCGAAGACAGCGTTCTAGCACATGTATGATTGCAACGAAGAGGTAATAACAAAAAAAAATTAAATCGAAAGCGGATTAAATAAATTTCAATGTTTCCAAATACCTAGGTACTCGTTAGGTGTGGGGCTATTGAATGATACATATTACCAAGACAAATATACAATTATAGTTTGCACATAACACAAAATAATTTGCATATATTATTTAGATATACCAACAACCTATATATAATTGGTCTGCGTGAATACAGCTGATGTTCATCAATAATTATTATTTTAGAAGTATTAAAATTAGAAATATATAACATTTATGTTTATTTTATTAAATAGTTTTTACAAACAACTTTGGTTACGTTTATTATTGACTTTAATACGATGCTTGCTATCTACTGCCTTGTAGTAATAATTAATATAATAATCAATGGATAATATCGGTAATAAACGAAAATATTCATCAGGAATATATGCTATGTAATAATTTAAAATCTTATCAAAACATTTAAAATTTACTTTGAATTTGACATGACATTACATGATAGTTTCCACTATCGATGCACATTATTCACCATTTCTAGATTCAAATAACTTAGTTTGTATATCAAAATAATAATGTTATGTAATTACTAATTATTATTTGCACATGTATAGGTACACTAAGTACATTATAGGACTATCGTCGAAGATTATCGATTTGTATACAAACGTACCGAAACTTAACGAATTTAGTAAAATTAGGATACCTCCTGAGCATGCCAAACATTCTTTAACGTTCAAATTATTCGTCATAATATTGATTAGTAGTCGTAGTAAAAACAGAGGAATTAAAGTAAGTTGAAATTAAGTTTTCACTGTCAAAATTATTTAGTATAAAAGTATAAAAGTATTTAATCAATAATAGGTGTACAACTGTACAACCGATATAACTCATAAAATCACTACGATGACGTAGATAATACCTTGTACTTATAATAGGTACCGATTACGTTTTAATACGTCAAATCGTAAATAGTAAATACAATAAAATATTTAAATGCGTCGTGAAGCATTTTTGGAATACGAATTGTCGATTAAAAAGGGAGGGAAATAGGGTCTTCTCCAAAATCTAACACATATAACTCATATTTACAGGATGCCCATATTGCGTTACTCTCCGTATACACATAGCTGGTCTGCTGGTGTACTTATAGTTGAATATAATTCATATTTCTGGTTATTTTTTTTATTGTGAGTAATCTATGAACTATAATTATCGCATTTATCAGTGAGACTATACCAACCACCGACTACATAGTACTCTACCAAATACTGGGATACAGTCACTATTATATATATTTATTATATCATGGCCGGAATTTTCAAAGTTAAACAAAACTTATCTCTAAATGCCATGTTAAATCGTTTATATTATTTTGTTTGTTTCTAGTAGGTACTTCATTATATGGAAGAGTCAGGGAGGTCCGCATGCAAGTTGTATTCATTTTTTTGGCCCTTTATTGAGGAGTTCTTATTAAAAATACATTATGACAGAGCGTACATAATTCCGTAATCTACCTACTGCAAATGTCTACAGCCAAATACCAACAGGTACTCGAATCATCAATGAGAGTGTAATATTAAGTGGACTAAGCCATAAAATAACAAAATTTAATAATATTATGATGTTTTGTTAAATATTGACGATGACTTACGTCGTTCGGTAGTTCGGTGTAGTGCACCGTGTCCGTGGTGGAGTTGTGATGTGCTGTCCAAGCACGCAACTTGTCGCCCGCAAAAAGGCGATCCGACGGCTCCAGCTGCAAGTCGTGGTGTTCTCCGAATGCCTTCAGTCGAACCTTGTGCGCGCCGTCCGCATCCCGTTTGGCGATCGAGTGCAGACTGATGACCTCGTAAACGGGCACTGTCAACAAAATACTGGATGTTAACATCTATAAATCTATTATTATTCTTTAAAATTCGTACACTACGCATTGACTGCGTTTGGCAATTAGCGTCATCATTTAGGCCGGAGATAAGATTTATGATAACTTAAAATTTTAAAATTTTTGTTGTAGACACTAGATATAGGTAATAATCTGCTCTCTGTTAATAAATAAATACGAATTTATTGATTTTTTTTCCCGATTATTCGCTGTTAATTATTAATATGTATGGCCTCCAGTATGATGGTGAAAAGTGTCTCTCTTGCATAGTTACAACCCTATTGAAGTTTGAATGATAAAAAGTCTGTATGATGGCCAATTACGCGTAGTTAAAAAACAATAAATAATTAAATAGGCAACATAGTAACTTCATACCCATCGATTTACATTTGTTGTTTAAATTTTAAACGTTAAATGTGTAAATAACATTGTAGAAAACAATTAAATCAGTCAAATGGTATGAAGTTAAGTACCCTAGATGTATGTTACTATATGTATACTGCATTATATATAGTATCATATACGTTATACAATGTCATGGGGTGCAGACTACAGAACGTTGACCGGTGTCGCTGTTAACGGAACATTCAGCATTACAGTATTGGCACCTACGCAAACACCCACATAAGCACAACACACTCGTGTAATAGACACTCCTGTTGTAGAGGAGTGTACCTATACGACGCGAAGAAGAGGAAGAAATGTCACGTAAAATAATATCAAGTGTAGCAGATACATTGCTCCATGGTAGTACCTAGCTATACTTATAGTGTCTCTTGTAACCGAAGGTTATCTGTTTGCAGCAGGTATATTATATGGTATAGATCTTCTTTGGTTTACATCAGGAATGTATTTTTCTGGATGAATTGTGTAGGCAGTGTATTGCCCTGTTCGTTATGAAAATTAGAATAATTATACTCCATCAAGCAAACTAGAATGCCCCAAGTTCAACAGCTCCAGACAAATTCTCGGAACTCACTCACTATATAGTCACTACGGTACAAGCATTTGGAGTGGAAAACTCGGGAAATATCTTCAAATTTTTAAAAAGACATAGGTCTATCGAAGTTACTTTAAGACAATATTTATTGTCAATTCCCTCCAAATGTTCAATATAATGAACCTCCATATAGACTTGAAATTATTGTACAAATTGTGATAAAATAATGTGATTTTATTTGTAAAACCTTTAAACTAATGACCTCAGTTGTTGAACCTTAACCAAAAAAAAAATATATATATATATATATATATGCTCTGTACTTGTGTCATAAAAATCACGAAATAATTTTCAAGATTAGAAAACATACGAATATACGATGGGAACATTGGTTATATTTTGATCATCTGTGCGAAATATAAAAGAATATGACTTACAATAACTGGTTATAGTTAGTACTTAATAACTACAACACGAAGTGGGATAATCGATTCGTGTCTTTTGCCCAGTTTGCCCACATATCGTAGTAATTAGAATAAAATAAAAATGTCTATGTGGGAGTTAGTGTTGCTGTTAAATGAAAATATGTCCCCGTTTGAAATAATCCTATTAATATGTGTGCCTTTGAATAGTAGTTATAACGATTTTCCCTTTATCCGCTCAGTGCCTCAGTATATTGTAATATTCCGTTAGTATTACAACTAGTGTAAACCAGAGCGGTATATTTTAAATTTACAATATTTAATAAACTTTAGCAGCTATTACTGCTATAATGCTTCCGGAAACATATTGGGCGATTAACACTTAATGCTTGTAATGCCGTTTGAATAGTGTATATCTAGTATCTATTGAAATATAGGTGCCTACTTATTGTAATAAGTACTAATAACGTATGTATGGTAAGTGGTGATAGTGTTGTAACAGCTATATATTAACTATACACGAATAGCGTAGGTTAATTGAAATTAAGTAAATAATATTTGAATATACGAGATAGGATTATACCTTCTGAATGATGTTCCACGTGAAATAAGGTCCTCAGGCCATCCACGTCCATGTGCTCGTGTAACTGAAATCAAAAACAAAATGCTTATTATTTGAATATAGGTACCTACGAATAACATTGATATCGTATTTTAATCGTCTGTTTGTAAGATACTCGTTTTGGCCGGAATCCCTGTAATACCGATTAGCGATTAGTGGGTACACTCAATAAGGCCGAGGTATAAACGCTTAGATTCACGGTCCAGTGTAACGATCGATATAGGTGCTCAAAATATCAGAATCCAAGATAGATCAGTGCACGTATAATATATACTTATCACATACGTATTCTGACCGGGTGTCTGGTTCCACGACCGACTTGACACGAGGACACAGTCACCCTTACAAATTTCCGCTCTATACAAACGGCATGATACCTACGAGTTTAAACGCCTGGTAATGTGGAGTTGCGATTGTGTAACGCTTGGCGGAGATAATACGATTACATACACTAATTTAATGCATCCGATTCGAAAGAGAAACAAATGTAAAAATCACTATTTCTGTGAGTGTTTACGCGTAGGTATATATTATATACACGACAAACGAGTTTCTTTATTTCTGGTAGAAATTTCTGCTACCACTTAAGAAAACGTCAACTTTAAAAGTATAACTCATGCGGGTGTGAACCAAGAACATTTTAACAGCGGGTACTCAAAAAAAAAAAATTGGTTACACTTTATTATTTTAGATTACGCCTGAACACGCATACCTCCCCTCTCCTGAATCACCTGGTATAAGTTGTGAAGTTTTGCTTATTATAGACAATAATACTAAGTTAAATCTACATATAGTATGTAGACTCTGGAAAATCCCTATGAACTTAGCATCGCCCGTTTAAAAAACTTGACAACAGACATCAAGTCGAAAAATATTTTAACATTTAATCATCTACAATAATAGGGTATATTGAATAAAAAACGCATCCGAATATTATTACAATATAATATTATGTGATCGAGTTTTCCGACTGTGTGGTGCGGTGCATATATATCACGATGAGTCTCTTAACGAAACCCGCCGGACAATCGGCCATCAGACATTCGGACCGCGTGTACAATAATGCGTCATTAAAATATATATTACTTCTATAGTTCTATAGGTAGAGTTGTAGAGTACAGGACGCCATGCATGTACACACGTGTATATACAATGCGTCATCGTCAGTGCATTTATATATGTATGCAGCGATATATAGGTTCGTTAGCCCCAACGACAGCCCATTGTTTAGGGTGGATATCTGTTGCCGCCGCCGTCGCATTATACGGTCGACAAACTACACGGAATAATAATATTATTATATTTGTTATCATGATAACACAAAAAACCAGGACAATGAGAAAAGCATTTTTTCGTTCAGCTGCAGCGGAGTGACGGATTACGGCCGAAAACGCAGAGACCGGCCTCGTCCCGTATAGAAGGTCGAGATGCCGGCTGTGGGTGACGTCGTCCCGTGTCCATGTCTATAATCAGACTGTGCCAGTTAGTGTGTAGTAAGTGTATTAGGACGTATATAGGTACTGCGCATACGGAGCGGGAGCTCAAGGACCTAAACAAACTGATAAAATAATATAATGAATTCATCATAATATTGTGATGTGCAGCCCGCTGCAGAAGAGCTGATAACAATATAGGACCCCGACTCGTATGGCGACCGCAAGGATTTTCGTCTACCTTGAGAAACGTATCTTATTAGCGTGTGCATGTCTTTTATTGTATTTAGTCGCGTATATTACGCCAACGACACCGCAGAAAGCGCAAACGCGCCCACATGGTCTCGGGATATATATATATATACGACAACGATTCGGATCATTAACCGTTCGGTGAAAGTTTGGCACCACGAATTAAAAAAAAAAAAATGTCAATATTAAAAGTCGATCATACCGACCAATTTTATGGAAATCCATATATTGTTATTAAACACTCTCATTGTCTTACGGCCGAAGACGTTATAACGACCAGGTATACGGACAAACACCGATCGATGGTATCAAACATACAATATCATGCACACGTACGCAGTTCTTAAGTAACATAATTGCCACATTTTGGAATAATATAACACGTCAATTGTTATTATTTTTTTTTTCAAAGTCTTTTATGAATTAATTTTATAGATAATAATCGTGAATTGTAACCAAACAAGGCCTTCAATTATCATAAATCATCTTCCGTGTAGAATTGCATTAAAAAAACAAATATAATTTGAGGTTAAAACTTTATATTATTATGTATTAATTATTTATATTGTTCTTGTAATTTAAGGCTGATACGTAAAGTGAATAACAGACGTGAAAAACTATCAAAATATCAGCATATTATTTTGAATAGATTTAACGTTTTTCACAGTGCGAGAAAGAGACACCACCGTGGCATATTAATCTGCAGATGGACGTATAGGTTGATTTTCTTTAGCCAATCGGTGTATACATACCGAAGGTATTTACGTATTTTACATAAACCCGATCACCCGAAACTATCTAAAACAATAACGATTAATAGTAATTACTATTATTATTTATGAGGTATTAAACGGCCGACGTATAGTCGATTATTACGTCGATTTAGGACACACAGTCGTGGTGGACCTATTATATTGCACAGGCTATTGCCGGGGTAACGGACGAGAAACGAAATGGAAAATAATTTTTGTAATATCGCCAACGACGGTAAAAACTACGATTGGTTTTTCAGTACCTCCATGTACAGTATTATTACTATGGAGTGACGAGGATAACGTGGCGTGCGCACACAATCCTTGAAACAATAAAGCAATCGACCGAGATGGTGTCAATGTGGTGGCAGTGCCACGGGAGGCCGTCAATCGTGACAAAACGATCGACGACGATTTACCGCAACGTTGGAATTTTGTTTCGTTTCGAATATTATTGTTCGCGCGTCGCGTGTCCCGATCGAGACTTGCGGGTTTGGCAACATAATCATTTTACCGACCGATATATACAATAATATATATCACAAAATGATATATTGTGATTATTATAGTTATTAGATTGGAATTGGTTTTTTTTTTCGTTTTCGCCAATATAATACAATATACTGCGAAGTCGCGAGTCACGACCGCTGCGGGTGTACCTAAAGGTACCCATATAATATTATGTACAGAGGCACACAATATAATGTACGCGTGTTATATATTATGGCGTATGTATACGATAAATGTGCCGGGTTTGATGCAATCGCCCTGGCCGCTTATAACGACCAGGTACGCGGCGGGCCCAGTTTCGTTTTTGACGTCGTGTGTTTTATACCCGTATTATACCTGTATATAATAATATAATATTATGTATTATAATATGCGTTATAATAAAATATCTCGATCGAATCGGTTGCGATTACGTCGCTGTACGATTTATACTTTATATTATATAGGTACCTATACCGCCACGCGTGCGTATAATGATAATATTATTATCATGCGTACCTATTCCAAAGTAGTTCACTATTTCCACTTGCGTAAAAAACCCGATCGGCGGCACACGCGTATCGTTAGCCTGCAGTTGGCGGTAAAAGAGTACAACACACACACACACACACACCTAATATCACGACAGGCGGTGACGGTATATACATAAATGATATGGTAAAAAGCGTTGTTGTACGATGTACATTGTACATAATATGATATTTTAGTATACATATAGTCAGACACCTGCGGCGCGATATGAACCAATTTCTGTAATACGAACTAGGTAGTTGTCGTTTTCGTTCGATTGGTATAATATAATATTATAAAAACATGCATCACATAAACGCGTTTCCTATGGTGACCTGTTACCATAGTGGGGTGGAAAGAAGGGATGAATCATGAATGAGATGACCGATGCCCCGTGTAATCGCAACTACGCACGCGTATAGCATAATGCCTATTATATGCCTTGTCACCCAGGTCAGCGTTTATGAAATCGAGTCAAATTTTGATCGATTTTTAAAACGTTTTTCTCGGTTGTATGTTATATATTGTTATACACGTAAAATAAAACAATATATAAAGCTATATAATATATAATTTTTTAAAGCTCGGAAATATGGAACAGTATATAAAAGTAAGACACTTTTGTATTAAAAAGTTTTAATTGCGATAATAGATTATAGGTATGCCTGAAAAATTGTGTGCTAGATGATATTCGTATTTTTAATCACAACCTGTAATCATGAATATTTATATAGTCGTTTAGGAATTTTAAGAAAATCTCAAACGTCAATAGCGACATACAAATCTAAAAATCTGAATCGAATTTCAAAAATATTTACCTAATAGATAACTATATCACAAGACCCACAATTTTGAATAATACCAACCGCAACGCAAAATCCGATAACCGCTCTGACTGAAAATAAAATGGCGCAGAGACTTCTTGTCTTAACTATACATACGTATAGGTATACCTAATAATAAAATAAATGACAGATAAAATACTGAAAACAATACCATCAACTGTCCACGAAATAATAAATCCAACGTTTTTAACATACAAAACAATAATAATAATAATAATAATAACGTATAACTAATATTTAGTAGTATAAAATGATGCAATTTTTGTAATTACCGTGTTGGCAAATATTTGCGACGCGAATGCTGTGATGCTGATGAAACTCCATGTCGATAGTATTACCATGGCGGCAATTCGAGGCCGGACCCGCGGGTGGTGGGTGTTGGGGTTGCGGGCGCGTTACAGACGTCTTCCGTGGTCGCCGGTCATCCGGGATAAACGGGCACCGCTGTCGTCGCCAGGCTGCAAATTACAAACGAAATACTATATTATTGTACAGTATCACGAGTTACGACCAAACGAGAGTGTCACACACGCTTATGCACACGCTGTACGTAAATAATTGTCGTTGTACAATGGCCGCGACATTAAAATATTCGCTGCAGCTGTTGCGCACGTCGCGCGGAAGGAAGTATGTCTGATATGGTACTGTTTGTGGTGTATAATTTAAAGACGATCGGCGCGTGAAGTTAACTATTTATATTATTTTAGCACACAACGTCTATAATAGTAAGTGCGATATCGCGCGGCGCGGTAGAAATATGTCTGTGCCTACATACTACATGTACCTGCACCTACCTGTGCATTATAGTCGAACGATAACGCTAATTTTTCCGCGTGTAATTGGACGGGTTTGAGTATAATTTCATAACGTATACTATGCGACTACCGCGTCTATTATACTGTCTGCATCTGTATTGTTTATGATATTATATAATGTTATGTATGTGCGGTAAAAACATATTATATTATTATAACCGGAAGAAGAGTTTCGCGTACGTCCTATCGCTTGCAGTAAAGGTGTGCGTATGCGTTATACACACACACACACACACACACACACACACATATATGAGTATAACAAGGCGTATAATCGCAATCATAAATATGGATGGATATTATATTCCACGCTTCGTGCACACACATACACACGCGGATATAAGTTTATTCGTTTCCATTCGCTATAGATATTCAGATATTCTCCTATTGCTCACGCGATAGGTGTAATTGTTGTTGGTATAATTTTCTGTACACAAGTGTTGCACACTTTCGCTTTCCGGATGCTGAAAAGTGTATTTTAGTTTGACACGCTGACCGACCTGTAGTGGGTGAGATCGTTATACGTTCGTATAGAGACAATCCGTTTGCTCTACACAGGGATGAGATATTTTGATTACCTGCATATTATACGGTATTTGATGGAGGTTATATTTTGCGTAAAGAATTCAAATATAAAGGCAAAACAATCGAGTGTTCTAGGAACGACGGAAAAAAATCCATAAAGCAACGAGGGACCCACAAATATTGACCTCATGACCAAACGACAAACGATTTAAAAAATGACGAATTACGATTCTTCATAAGTTCCAGATTCTTAATCCGATGTTTTGATATTGAATAAAACGAAATATTTACAATATGAAGATAGATAAGATGTATGCGCGTAAACAACGAATTTTCCGCCATGGCATTATGCAATATTGTTTAATATCTAAGATCCGGAGCAAGAGCGCGTGAAAATCTCAGTTTTGTACACTACGCAATAAGTTTCCAATCCTAGCATCATCGTCAAAACGTAACCCATTATTATTTATAATATAAAATACAATAAAACAACTGTTCCAGATGGATAAAAAGAGAATCCCATTCAAAAAAGGGAAAACAATTATTTGGACCGGAGATCGTTTTAATTGTCACTACTCAATACTTCTTTGGGATTAGTTGCAAAGTTCCTCATCCCTTCGAAATATCAACTACAATACCATACTCCGCATACTCGATATATTTGTTGTAAATTAATTTGATACAATTTTTTTTTGTCACTCTTTATAATAACCTATGAGTTTATACATTTAAATTTGCATATAATTTTGTGTAGGATGCACGAATACAAGTTCGTCTGAATGCACTACCAAACAAAATAGGACTGGGATAGGACGGTTAACTTCGCATTCTATTTATATTCTTAACTTCGATTTCAGTTATTAAAACCCAGATGAATGTTAACCAGGAAAAACTTGCAAGTGCAATAACTGAAATCACTGTAAACACCACAACATAACAATAAATTATTATGTTATGGTGTTCGCTGTACTGTTTTATTATGATAACACAATATTATTTGGCAATGATTTTTCTTTCTTAATTTATACGTCACGACGATACCATTCACCCATGCCATATACTTACTATTATATATTTGCACAAAAACATTGTGTGTGAATATTGAGTACTTACACATTATGTTGTACACTAACGAGTACCGGTAATAAATAATTATGTGCAACTATGAAAATATATTAAAATAATAATGTTAGTGTACGATTTTCGACAAGAAACCGCGGCGTTCCAAATGCGCACATTACTATATTTATCTACGTAAAACGATCAGAAATCCTTACTACGGTCCCGCGTACTTACCTTATATGGTTAATACTACTAATGCTCGGCAAAGACGTTTCGAAAAGCGTTCGCCTTGTAAGAAAAATCAGTAATTATAAGAACGGGATGTTATTATTATTAAAGCGTATCAAATTAAAATATGCTTTGTGGTATATATATTATACGTACACACACATGCATATATATAAATACGGATTTCGTTTTAAAACCGGCTACCGCTCTGTGCAGCGCGTGTACTCGATAAACATAATAATAATATGATATGGAAACAATGACTCGTAAAGGACAATGAACAGATAATAGGCACTTTATACGATATATATTATTACACACGTATAGGCTTCGGGTAGATACTTCATAATTTTTCGAATACATACCACGCCATATATAATAGGATCTTCACACACAAATGCATACACGTTTCAAGGGCGTACGTATAATTATCACAATTTTTATCATACCGCACACACACACCGGCTATGTGACGTAATGACTAATACCTAATGATAACCCAGTCCAATATCTATATAATTATGACTATCGTATAAACACATAATATCTGTCATTTCAAAACTGGAACCCATTATGTTCTAGTGAAACTTCACCGTTATATCCGTGGTCAGTGCATGGGACCCGTTAAGAAATTATTTAAGTACCTTCTACCTACATGATTTTTTGCTGGTTTTGTACCTATAATGCCTGACATACACAGTTTTCTCAATTGTCCATTTGTTATTTTCTGGACGTCGGTATACGGCGTGGATATTACCGTCCATCACTTGACATGGCGGGAAACGAGACTGAATTTGTAGTTGACTTTAGCGAGTCACTCGAATGAAAATTCAGTATTCGGACGCGGTCGGAGACTTCGGACTGTTCAACGGGCTTTCGAATCGAACCGCGATGGCCGGAAAACTATTATTTCTGACATAGGTACCTGTATTCATATATTATACTGATATACTTGCTAGCTGTTCCAGTGATTCTATAAAGGCTCAACGAACTCGGCTAGACCCACGACCAGCGCGGCACCTTCCAATCGTAACTTAACAATTATTTTCATATTAATATACTATATATATATGTATACGAATTCGGTAGCCAAAATCGACGACAGTGTGATGTGCACACACATATAATACAATAATAATAATAATAGTAACGATATACAGCAGCTGCACCGGTATTCGTATTATAGTACATCCGTCGCCATCGTCGGTCTGCCGCTGCTGCTGCTGCTGGCACGGCACCAAAACGCAAAAGTGCAAAACCAATACCGCCGTACGTTTACGATACGTACCTACCTGTATATACGATAAAATTATAAACGACGATCTGCCGACGTTGTAATATTATTCTCTTGGACTAGGTCCAAACCCGCAGACGTGTATTTTTCGTTTAACACGCTCTGTCGGGATCCCGTGCGCCGCAACGTTCGCCCGGCCGTCCGCTCGACCTTCCGTCCTTCTCCGATGTCTGCAGCACCAGCCGCGCACGGCGACTTAAACGTTTGTGTATGTACGCGATGTACACGACACACGCGATATACCCACAACACGACTTATAATACACCCATGTACGTCATGCATATACAAGACGAAATTATGGTTTTTGCGTCGCCGGGCAAAACGAATCGTCGGCGGACAAATTGCGTACCCGCCGTTGTATCTGCTGTAAAATATTGTGCGAGTTTGCGCGTACGGCCGTTAGTGCCCGCACGTGGTCCACAACTGTTGTACGACGATGTTAATATAATCATATTATCGTTCGATCGAAATAATTTTTACATTATTGCTATAATATGGTCCCTCTGACGTCTGAAGTATTTTTCGTATGGATTTTATTTTTTTTCGTGTCGTCCTCTTCTATACTTTTCCGTGAGTGATGTGTACGGTACCCACGAGCCTATTTATAATACACCTTATGATATTATGTAACTCGAAGACGCTTCGCGAACTAAGACTAGGACAGACACAGTGCGGACACCCTGTATACACGTGACCGTCACGATATAATTCGGATTACAGGCCTCCATCGGCGAGGGGTTCTTGTGCGTCGCCTCTCATTCCAGACGAAAGCCTGCCCCGTAAAAACGACAAAGGTGAGTGTCTATTATATTAATGGCCCGCGAATATCGACATTAAAATAATAATAATACTACGATGGACTAGTTTTCCATGAGGTTTTTTCGAAACCGTTCGATCGTCGGAGAGCACAAAAGGTGTTTCCATTTCCATTTCAGACTATATCATCATACGCATTAACTGTAGGCGGTGTCTCAGTGTCCGTGAGCCCCATTTACAATTTTCCTCCCGTATAATATATATATATATATATTTATCAATAGTAATTTATAAATTACTTAATCACCTCCGGTCTCATTGTATACGTTTTCGGACGATAAATGCTTTCATTAGCAGTAACAATAGTGTTGTGGATCGACGGTACTTATATATTATACATGTGTATATTATGTTTAGGTATATATAGACCAGCAATTACGGCTGCAACGAACGGAAAATGTGTTCCGTTGGCAAATGGTGAAAATATTATTACCGACTGATTAGTCGTGTTTAACAAAAATAAAAATAAAAATTTCAATTTATTGTGATTTATATTCCAAACAAAGAAAATCTTTCACCGTCTGACCGCCAACATTACATTTGATTGTCCGTCTCGATGTAAGAAATGTTAAGACATACCATTATACTTGAAAATAAAAGTACCTATCGTTTGAAAACATCGTTATAATATTATCATTTTGTGAATCGTACATTTTAACGAAAATTAACTAAACGTCAAAAAACGAATCTCGAATAACCCTCGTGTATAACGTTACA